ACTATGAATTCTAGCTGAGATATTTTGAATGAAATCTTAATTAGTCTTTCCAATTTTTTTATTCTGTTTTGAGTCCTATATTTGTTATTTTGTTACAATTTTAGTATTAATTTCTAAAGCATACCTTGATCATGAAATCTTTTTAAATTTTATGTTTGCCAAAAAAGAATGTTTCCTGTAAACTTAATATTTATAGTGTAACTAGCATATGATAGCGATATAATGATAGTGTCTTCGTTTTTTAATAACAATAATTTTGAAATCCGGTTTAAAGGATATTACTCATCCGCCATATTCACTTTCATAAATTTTTATCGTTGCTCTTGATAAAGAATCATTCAGTAAAAGTATAATTAATTTTCAAATTCAATTTATTATAGATAAAATATAAACTTACATTTGTAAATGTTTCATTATATTAAAGTACATTCATCTAGAGATTTTTTATGAATAGAAAAGTAATAATTGAGTTTCAGAACCAGAATTTTTATTATTAACACCCCAGCAATCAAAGCAAGGTACAACATTTACTCAATTTTTGAATAGCGATAAATTATTAAAAATGATTGAAAATAGGAAAATTTCATCACTATCATGATTATTTTTTTGATATGATCAAAAAAATAATCGAAAATATTTAGAATCCTATTTAAGATAGATAATTTAACTAATAAATTTAGGATTGGAATTATCTAATTTTAACATATATGATAATGCTATTGAGACTTTGACTAATTAAATATCTTCATCATCAAATTACTATTAAGCATTTTTCGATAAGGTAAAATGGTTAATATTTAGGATAGTCTCTAAGGTAGATATATACAATTCAGGCAAATTTTAAGAGGCAATTTTATCTTAAACAGAAGTCATTAAATTCAATTTAAAGACATTAGTTTTGAAATTAAATGTGCATTTTATAAGTCCATATATTATAATGAACATGGGTATCTTTGAAGAAGTCATTCGATGTTAATGTTAAAATGAATTAAATCCATAGGAAGATGTAGCTATGGTTAACATTGGTTAATTTGATAGCTTTAACTTTAGGAATTACATTGTTATTTTTAACTCCAAAGCATATGTTAGAGTATAAATATAAATAACACTGCTTATTTGCATTATTATGCCCGAAAAGTAATTGAACAAACTCATGGTGCATTAAATTAAATGTTCCTCTCTTTCAATGGATTGATGAAACCAGAAATCCTAATATTTATATTTGGAGTTCAGTGATCAAACTTAGTTTTATTTTCTCCTCCAATAGGCTCTTTAAACCTACTAGAACTCTATAATGAACCCTTAGATAACTAAAAATTGAAAGTAAATTAGTTAAGATTCAATCAAAGGATATTACAAAAATTCTTTATATTTAAAATTTCAAAAAAAAGTTTTATAAACACTTAATCAAAGATGATAATTAAATCATGATTAGAAAATTCAAGATAACATGAGTATATTATATTAAAACAAGTAAATAACCTTATTGATATTGAATAATATTAAACTCAAAATTATTATTAATCTTTAATCTCGATTAAAGATGCCTTGCTATTTGTAATTGATTTAAGAATTGGTCTTTTGGTAAAAAATCTTACAATAAATAAGATTATTACATTACTTCTTTTCCACTTTCAAACTTAATTTATAAAGTCGATCTCATTTTTTAAATATTGGATTATAATTTTTTTCTTTTTTCAAATTCTGAATCCAAATATATTCCAATATTTTTAAACAACCTTATTTTTGATTTTTTCAAAGTTGGATGGATCTTTGCCATAAGTGGTAACGAATATTTTTTGGAATAAATAATCAAAATCTCTTTTATAAAAGGAAGACTTAGTCGAAATAATAATAAAATCAAAATGATTTAAAGGAACATAGAAAAAAAATCATTTTGCAAGACTTAACTTTCATATTTAGTTGCTGCAAAAAAAATAGCTATTAAACAAATTTACCCTGATTCTAAATCTAAACTATTAAACTTCGAAATAATATAAGGTTTACTATTATTAGCTAAGACTTAATATATTTCTACGCATGTGCCTAGTAAAGTTGTCTTTAATAGCACATTGTTTTCAAAATTAGTTATTACTAATATTATAAATGTTTTCTAAATCAACTTAATCTATTCCCAAAAATATCGTTTTTCATTATACTCATTAAACAAATAACAGATATGTTTTCTAAATTTTAGTTTAAATAGGTGAAATCTATTTTGAAACATCAGTAAAAATAATGAAAACGGAATGACGCAACAAAAAATTACTAATAGCGGTATGATAAGATAGTAAACCCACAAATAATGTTCTTAGCTACCAAATATTAAGGAAACATCTCCTTAAATGTAATCAATATTTGATATTTATCTAACAGACAACTTAGAACATAACCTAATTTTTAATATATGTCTTACAATTTGATCAATCCTCCATAATTAAAAACATATAAGCAGAGCAGGGTATTTGAAATTATACTTCTCTCCATTTATTATGAAGATAATTGATAATAAATAAACGAGATGATCAATATAAAATAAAATTGTAGCAGCATCAATAATAACATAAAAATAATTTAAGCGTAGATTAAATGTATTGATAAATCTGACAAATAGCAATCTAAATTATTTACCATAAAATAGAAGCTATTACTTGATTGTTCAATAAAGAAGATTGAAAATGAAAACTTGATGTTAAAAGTAAATATTGTCGAAAATATCCATAAGTAATTTAATAAAATCTTAATTAATATACCCTCATGATCTATATGTAAATTTATAATTACCTTAATTTAATTTAAATAGTATTTTACTAAACGTTTTTTAAAAAACTGTAAGCTAGTTGAATAAAGAATTTGATTTATTAATACTTTTAAGTGATAGCGAAATAGATAATATTGCCCTAAAGTTAATAATATTGAATACTAAATTAAAGCAAAGATAAAAGGAAGTATGCTACTTTCCTCATTTGAACATGAAAAACATGATTAATTTTATTAATTTCTAAAAAATTACCCTTGTCCTCGTATATTATATAAATCACACATTTCGCATAGTGCACCTATGTGACCTTAACTACACGTGCTATCTCCTACTTACCATCCTCCTAAACAAAATTCTGTATTTTTATAGCATTCCTCTGTAGCATCAGATAGATAGTTAGGTCTCCAATATCCCTTCTGTAAATTTATCATATTAGAAGTTACATTTTAGAATTTAGTTTTATCAAAAACTGAACATTTTATTGTATCATATGTTACACTATAAAATCCTTGGCTAGATTTGCAAGTCTAACACCCCTCTTCAATATAAAATTCTCCTAACTAACATTTAAAACTTTTTGCATTAATGATATAATTAAGACCATTTTGTGATTTTTGTGTCTTACAAAAGATTTAAATTTCTAAGTGACTGCTGTCTTTTTAATATGGGTCTAGTCGAAAAGATAAAGTAGTTAGTTCAAAACTATTATTCTCTGTCTAAAACTGTAGGAGTTAATTTGAAGAAGATTTTTATTTTTCATCCTTTCCTTTGGTTACTGTGTAATCTGATACTACACAAGTTGAATTATAAATATTATGGAGGAGTTCACCCTTGCTATTTTTGAAATATATGTTCAAACTATTAATGTATGTTAAATATTAAGTCTTGTTGACATAAAATAGTTAATATGTATCGATTACTTATGTACTAGGAATCATGAGCATTTCAGTTTATTTTTTATTTCCTTGTTCCATTACTACATATGGATTTATTCTGAGGGTGCTAGTTGAAATATTGTTCATTCTAGATTCTATAGCAACCATTGCTTTTGAATTGAGGTATAGTGACAAATAACTGGGGGTTTCAACTAGATTATTTCCATAGACTTCAGCCTGATTGAAATATATAAAAGTCTAAACTTAGGTTTTGATTGAGAGATCATTATCCAAATCATAATAAATTCCTCCTCCTTCTTGGGCTTTATTATAAATTATGATCGTTTTAGAAATAAAGAATTTTTTAGTGTTTAATTACAAATATAAACCTCCACCTTAAGATAGTGCAATGTTAGAAATAATATTACATTGAAATAACTTTAATAGAACATCGCTACTCTTTATTGCAACTCCCTAAGTTCCAAGGTTTGAAATAAAATTTGAATTTTTTATTTCAAGTACATTTGAAGCATTTTAATTCCCAATAATATTTAAACATCCATATTTTTTGATAACATTGGAATGACAATCAAATCTAATAATTTGGAACTTCTTAAAATTGATGGTATCAAAGTGGATGATTCCCTATTAACTTGCTGAATAATTATTATTTGTAAATCTAATCCTATCAAAAATAAAAACACCTAAGTTTGACTAGCTCCTAACGTATAAGATCGAGGTTTGTTATTAATTTTATTGTAGTAATTAGATTATATTTACGTAAAAGTAATTTTTCTCTAAAGATTGCACTTAAAAATTCTATATAGAGCATCCAGAAAAGAAATAATTGATTAATATTTATAAGTGTTCTTAAATTGGCAAATTATTTGGAAAATACATGGACCCATTTTTAAAATTTAAAGTTCTTAAGGAAACTTATTACTTTTAATTTGCCGTCTAACTAATCACAATTAGATTTTATGTGTATATATTCTTAACATTATAAAATTAGCAATTAATCATATTTAAATTATTTATGTTATTTAAATTTATTACACTAGAAAAAAGCATCCCCTCAAAACTAAGATTTTCTATAGTAAAATCACAATTCTCCAAATATATTATTCCATTTCCATTTCCAGCTATTTCTTGAATTTCAGATTCAGACAAAACACCAATATTCTAAAATAAATTTTCCCAAGATTCTTAACTTTAGTAAATCTTTAAATCGACAAATGAAATTAAATTTTATTTATTTGCTTAGGAAATAAACTAAACTTTAACAATCTAATTTTTTAATGAAACACAATCAATGATGGACATATTTTAGAATATCAAATTATTTTTAAGTAATGAAGGATTAATTGTTATTATGGATGAAGACATCCTATTTTGAATATTCTAAAATTTAGCATTTTTAATGTAAAGATTCAAGAAACTATTTATAGCATTAATACTAAAGCATCCTCCGCTTTCAATACTTTCCTGAAGACTATTTCTTATTTACAAAATAGATAAATTTTACATCATTATTTTTCCGTCGCTTGAAGTGGCAATATCAAATACTGAAATTTTGCAGTCATTATCTCCTCAAAAGACGCGTTGATACATATAAAATTCGATGTTTAAATAGAGGCAGCACCTCCAATAGTTTTTATTTAATAAATCTATTTAATTAGTGACTAAATCTAGTCTTAACTCACTTATATCAAATTATAATAATTGTTCCAAATCTTTAAAGGGAGAATATTATGAAATCTCACCTAAATATTGTTCATTTTCAAAGATTTCGAAGAAATAGAAATGAATGAATTGGAAGAGTTTGTCATAGCATTTTATCTACATTATAAATTTTCTATATGAATTGTACTTTCTAATGAAGAGATGTATAATAATGCTGCTGAATCCTTTAAAGAATTTTCGTTGTAGGTATGCATTATATTATTTTGAAATACTACATTTTTTATCAAAATATCGAGGGTTCTATCAGAAATAATTGTAAGAAGTGAAAAATATATGATTTAATTGAGCGATTGTAAAAGATTTCCATTAAACTCAATATTTAATATTGTTATTTGACCTGTTTATTCTTTGAAATATTAGTTACTAGACATAATTTTAATTATTGATTCATCCATACTTTAAATAAAGTTTATTTTAAAATTAGATATATAAATTATATTAAACCCGATTATCGAAATTATTTAATTTTAAAAATTTTGATTTTATAAGCAACTAGTTTAGACAGATACTTTTTCTTCTATTTCAGAATTCTCAAAAATAAAGTTTTCTAAGTCGATATTCTGGCTATCAAAGAAATAGAGAATATAAACATTTTTGGTTTCATAGATTGAAAAGTTCTTCAAAATAATTGTCTTGCCATTGATGTTAAACAAGTAACTTACCTTATTGAGCGTATAGCTTAGTTATTAGTCTTTATAACTTATAATTAATCCTACATTATATCCAATAAGTGCATTGTCTAGCCTTATAAAGAGATCACTTGACTTAAATTCTGAAAAAAATCGAAACAAATCTGAATTTTGCAATTTGTTATTCTTTATTATTAAGTGCATCAAATTGCAAGATACTTATTATTGACTTATCATTTATACTGTTGACATAAACGAGGATTCAACAAATATATTGTTGTTAATTTGAATATAAGATGACTCTAAACCAGAACTAAATCCAAATGTAATAGAATCTAATAATTCATTCTAATTAAAGACTAAATTAGTCGCAATAAAATCAACTTATTATGAACAATAAAAAAAATATGAATGATTAAAATAAGATCTAAAAATTGATACGCTAGCAAGATAAATTTGAATATCCAAAGGATTATTAGCTAAAAATTGAAAAATAGATGAATTTTATAGGGAACATTGGTCCATAGTAAGGTNATAGCATTAATACTAAAGCATCCTCCGCTTTCAATACTTTCCTGAAGACTATTTCTTATTTACAAAATAGATAAATTTTACATCATTATTTTTCCGTCGCTTGAAGTGGCAATATCAAATACTGAAATTTTGCAGTCATTATCTCCTCAAAAGACGCGTTGATACATATAAAATTCGATGTTTAAATAGAGGCAGCACCTCCAATAGTTTTTATTTAATAAATCTATTTAATTAGTGACTAAATCTAGTCTTAACTCACTTATATCAAATTATAATAATTGTTCCAAATCTTTAAAGGGAGAATATTATGAAATCTCACCTAAATATTGTTCATTTTCAAAGATTTCGAAGAAATAGAAATGAATGAATTGGAAGAGTTTGTCATAGCATTTTATCTACATTATAAATTTTCTATATGAATTGTACTTTCTAATGAAGAGATGTATAATAATGCTGCTGAATCCTTTAAAGAATTTTCGTTGTAGGTATGCATTATATTATTTTGAAATACTACATTTTTTATCAAAATATCGAGGGTTCTATCAGAAATAATTGTAAGAAGTGAAAAATATATGATTTAATTGAGCGATTGTAAAAGATTTCCATTAAACTCAATATTTAATATTGTTATTTGACCTGTTTATTCTTTGAAATATTAGTTACTAGACATAATTTTAATTATTGATTCATCCATACTTTAAATAAAGTTTATTTTAAAATTAGATATATAAATTATATTAAACCCGATTATCGAAATTATTTAATTTTAAAAATTTTGATTTTATAAGCAACTAGTTTAGACAGATACTTTTTCTTCTACTTCAGAATTCTCAAAAATAAAGTTTTCTAAGTCGATATTCTGGCTATCAAAGAAATAGAGAATATAAACATTTTTGGTTTCATAGATTGAAAAGTTCTTCAAAATAATTGTCTTGCCATTGATGTTAAACAAGTAACTTACCTTATTGAGCGTATAGCTTAGTTATTAGTCTTTATAACTTATAATTAATCCTACATTATATCCAATAAGTGCATTGTCTAGCCTTATAAAGAGATCACTTGACTTAAATTCTGAAAAAAATCGAAACAAATCTGAATTTTGCAATTTGTTATTCTTTATTATTAAGTGCATCAAATTGCAAGATACTTATTATTGACTTATCATTTATACTGTTGACATAAACGAGGATTCAACAAATATATTGTTGTTAATTTGAATATAAGATGACTCTAAACCAGAACTAAATCCAAATGTAATAGAATCTAATAATTCATTCTAATTAAAGACTAAATTAGTCGCAATAAAATCAACTTATTATGAACAATAAAAAAAATATGAATGATTAAAATAAGATCTAAAAATTGATACGCTAGCAAGATAAATTTGAATATCCAAAGGATTATTAGCTAAAAATTGAAAAATAGATGAATTTTATAGGGAACATTGGTCCATAGTAAGGTTAATGAATTTAATTGGAGATTTTATGAAAGAGAATTCAAAAAACATTGAGTTAGTAAAATTACAATTAAATAAGTATAATTAATTGATTCTGATATTTCCCATTAAGCTAAATGCGTTAAAGTTAAAGAGCGATGAGTTAATAATTTGAGTATTGATTATTGATATATTTTATAGCTCAACGTAACCAAATTTTTAAGTCTTAAATAAGGATTGAACATTTTATATTAAACTATCTTTTATAGTAATGTTTATCAATGTAAAATTTACTTCATTATAACTATTACTTATATTAAAATCATAATTATTTAAGTTAGGGAAAATAATCCCATAGTCAATCATTGTAAAGGAATCGTACTCTTATATAAGAATCTAATTATCAATTTCTATGTAAAAGGGATAAATTGATAATAATTTTAAATGAATAACCTATAAAGTAAATACATAAAATTTTAAAGAAGCAGTTGTTGTTATTGTAGGCATGAGTGTACAATATTCATCATATGTTTCTATTCTGATAATTATGGTCATAGAAACAGCTCCAATACTATTCAAATATTCAGTTTGAATTCCAAAATAATCCAGTTCTTTTGGAAACCTATCAAAAAAACAACCATATTAAATAATTTCATAAGTTAGTTCATTATTGCAATCGCCTTTCAAACAATATTAAGTAGTTTTTAAATAAGGGTTGTAGCTAATAAAAGGATCTATAAAAGGGAAAATACATTTTTTTGTATAGAGATCTTATAAATATGAGGTTTAAAGGAANTTTGTTAATGTTATTTATCCGATTTTTTCTTATATATTTTAGGTACTAGAAATTATTTTAATTATTGATTCATCGATACTTTATAACTACTTTACATTTAAATTAGATATAGAAACATTATTAAACCCAGTTATTGAAATTATTTGGTTTTGAAAATTTAGATTTTATAAACAATTAGTTTAGATTGATACCTTTTCTTCTATATCAGAATTTTCAAAAGTAAAGTTTTCTAGTTCTATATTCTGGCTATCAAATAAATAAAGGATATAAACTTTGTTAGTTTAATAGACTGAAAAGTTGTTCAAAATAATAGTCTAGCCATTGAGGTTAAACAAACAACTTACCTGATTGAGAGTATAACTTTGTTAACCTTTACTACTTAAAATTAATCCTTCATTATATTCAATAAGTACATTGTCTAGTCTTATGAAGAGTTCACTTGACGATAAATCTGATAAAAGTCGAACCAAATTTGAATTTTGAAATCGGTTATTTCTTATTATTAAGTACATTAAATTGCAAGATGCTAATTATTTATTTATTAATTATATTGTTGAAATAAATGAAGATTCAATAAATATATTGTTTATAATTTCAATATAGGATGAATTTAAACCAGAACTAAATCCAAATATAATAGAATTTAATAATTCATTGAAATTAAAGACTAAATTATTTGCAATAAGGTCAATTTATTAGGAACAATAAAAATAATAAGAATGATTAAAATTTGATCTTTAAATTGATATGCTCAAAAGATATATTTGAACATCAAAAGGATTTTAAGCAAAAAAATTAAAAACAGCTGAATTGTATAGAGAACATTAGTCCATAGTAAGGTTAATTAATGAAATTGAAAATTAGGTGTAAGAGAATTCAAACAAATTTAAGTTATTAAAAGTACAATTAAATAAGTGTAATTAATTGATTCTAACATTCCCCATTAAGTTAAATTTGTTAAAGTTAAAGAGTGATGAATTAATAAATTGAGAATTAACTATTGATATATTTTATAGATCTACATAACCAAAGTTCTTTGTTTTAAATAAGGATTGAACATTTTGTATTAAACTATCCTTTATTGTAATATTTATTAATGTAAAATTGACTTCATTATAGCTATTACTGATATTAAAATCTTCCATAGTTAAGTTAGGGAATACAATGCCATAGTCGATCATTGTAAAGGAATCGTACTCCTCTATATGAATCTAACTATAAATATGTAAGAAAAAAGGATAAGTTGTTAATAATTTCAAATTTATAATTTCTAAAGTAAACACATCAAATTTTAAAGAAGCAGTTGTTGCTATTGTAGGTATTAGAGTACAATATTCATCTTCTAGTACTATTCTGATAATTACGGTCATAGAAACAGCTCCAATACTATTCAAATATTCAGTTTGAATTCCAAAATAATCCAGTTCTTTTGGAAACCTATCAAAAAAACAACCATATTAAATAATTTCATAAGTTAGTTCATTATTGCAATCGCCTTTCAAACAATATTAAGTAGTTTTTAAATAAGGGTTGTAGCTAATAAAAGGATCTATAAAAGGGAAAATACATTTTTTTGTATAGAGATCTTATAAATATGAGGTTTAAAGGAATGGTGCAATTTTCTAAATACAATCAATATATACTTACTTGGATATCAACTTAAAGCTGTTCTATACAAATCTGACAAAGTGGGGAACATGTTTTACAAATATTATTAATATCATTAAACCTCTAACTTGTTTCTATTTAATCGCATTCTTCACAATAATACTCTCCTAATGAGAGTTTGCATGAATTACAAAAATTTCCACAAGGATACAATTGCAGAGGTGTATTATAGTTATAATTTTAATAAAGGTTCATTAAAAAACTTGTTACCTTCAAACTCCAGAATTCATTTAAATATAAAGCACTTTACTCTTCGCTTTCATAGCAGATTCCACTAACTATTACATAATTAGATTCACAAGCTAAGCATGTTAATTTGTTATTATAATCAAGAAAACAGATTGAGCAATTGGATATAAATGAATCGCATTGATTTATCTCTCTTGAAACTTGAAAATAATCTAAAGAAGATGTTAAGCATATTTCTTCATTAGTTAGTTTTGTTACTGATGCTACACAATTATTAATAGATGGAGGTTTTTTTAAACATCTTCCAAGATTGAAATTAAAGTTATAATCTTTTTCACATAACATACAACCTACTCTTACACTATTGATGTCATTATAATATAAATCATCTTATTTAATGCTAATAAAAGTTTCTAAAGAAGATGAAAATTCAAAACAATATAAACAATTCTCTAATGTGCATAGCTTACACTCTCTAGACGAGGATGCATAATATGGGGGCAAACATGATGCATAATTAAATTTTTATTAATAGTTACATTCACCATTAACAAGTTTATGGCTTTGATCGCATCTTAAACAAAAAATATTACTATTTATTGTTAAACCACAACTTTAACAAAAACGAATGGTGCAAGGATAACATAATTAATTAAATATGCTTTCTCTTTCATTACAAAAAGAAAAGAAAATTTCAGAACTTTACCTGAAATTTTCAAATAGAATTGACTTATTTTGAATACCAGTGCCTTCACTCTGAGGTGGTTTGATAGAGATTAGGTCAGAAGAATCATAAAAATAAAAATTGTCGATTTTTGGGGCTATATATTAACCAGACATTGAAGTTAATTACAAAATTTAAGTACAAATTGGTTTTAAGCTCCATGTATCTACATTTTAAAAACAATCATGGCAAATTAAGAAATCTTTGTAGATTCCTTAAGGGCTAAATAATAGTAAAATGATATTTACCATTTTATACAATCGCCTTCAAATTCAAAGTAACCCATTTTACAATTTAAATTTTGTGCTTATTTGACATTAAACTAGAGGTTTAACTCAAGGTTTTAGTCCATATAATCAATGCATTAATTATTATAATCAATTGTACCGTATGAACAAGCACATTATTTTGATTCTGGAATATAAATTCTTTTTGATTCTACAGGACAAATTAAACAATTAAACTTAGTGGGACCATCACATTCTTAACAGCTAAAATGACATTTCTCTGATTTTAAATCTTACAAACAATTGATTAATAGCAAATCTCTAACAATCACATCCAAATAATCTAATTTTGTTTATTAAATGTTTCCGTAAGTAATTTTTAACTAATAATTATGGAATTACTTAACATCAATTGTAGTTTCATATGATTATGTATTTTAAGCTTCATAAAATATGATTGAGAAATCTAACACACTTTCTTGTAGATTTACATATATATATTACCATGAAGTTATAGCATTTTATATTAGTAATTCTCTTCTAATTATACATGGATTATTTCCAAAATCTTATGTAACAGAAGGGAAATTGTATTTATAAGTTGAAATTATTATTTTATTTTGAATCGGAGAAATTTGATAAAAAAACTAAAATGTGTCTAAATTTTCATCTTATATTCCATCCAAATTTGAACTTATTTTAATGAATTAATATATGAATTCTTAAGAAGATTGATGAATTTGTGATACCTACAGCCATCCAGCAAGTACGTATGAATTGCAATTTAAATTCTTCAAAACATTAGTCTATTGGTCTAAAAATAGTAAATGAAAATTTTTCTTTGTTATATCAACATCGGTAACACATTTACAATTGTCTATCTCTTCATAAAATTTAGTAATTTACAGCCAACAATCAAAATCTAAAGGTATTCTCTTCATCTCCTTGTTATATAAAATTACTTAGCCTGGATAAAGCGAGAATATTGTTCCTTATTTGATTAATTCAATATTTGAATTCTCTACTTTTAAACTCCCCCCAAAAGTAAATAGCAATTGCTAATCCTTATTCGGCAAAGAAAGTTGGAGAGTTTCTTTAAACATTTAATTTATTTAAAAATAAATTATTAATTCTACACTTTTTTTCTAGACATTCGTGATAACTTAAAAAAAATACCAAAAGTCTTCATATTCAAAAGGCTCTATTTGTAATGAAAATATAAACTATTCAGTCTAACTAAATCCAATTTAGATGAATTTTTTGATCTCTTTTGTGGTATCATAGATGCAATCATATTGAATAAAATTCAGACTTAAAGTAGGGTAATCGACTGAATTTAGTATCTAAAAGCAATTACTGTCAAATAGTCCGTAAGCATCCTTCAATTTTATATTAGCTAATGGACTATATTTTGTCCAAATACCAAAGGTCAGGTAATTCTAATCTGATTAGTCTACTTCAATTTATTCAACTATTTGGAAATCAATTAATGTTGATTAGTTTAACAATTTATTGGATAAAGTGTACTTTCCATATAATTGGTTTACCATCAACAAAAAAATGAGTATCATAAGAGAATTTAATTAGAAAATTAAATAAATAATCATCATCTAAAAAATAAAATTTAAAGTAATTCATAGTCCAATATAATAGGGTTATCAAATTAGCAGATTTTATATATGAATCGGTTTTGTAAAATAAGTATTTAAAATAACTTTCTTATTCTACCATAAACTATGGTATTGAATTCAGCATTGAGTTTTATTAAAAATAATAAGAATAGATTCATTTGATTATATATTTAATACATTCATGGAGTTTTAAATAATTAAAATGATTCTACTTTAGCTTAATAAATACATTGAAGAAATTGAATAGGATGACTAGATTATTAAAAGTGAATTCACTATATTTAAGAATATTATTAATTCCTAAAATTCTTCCATTTATTTTGTAATTGTAGTATGTAGTATATATTAAACTCATACAATCTCTATTATATAAAAAAGCCTATTTTTCTAGTTTATTTCTTATTGTAGTATAAATTTCTGTGTCAGAATCCTTACAAAGCAATAAAATACAAATTTTTCGTTCATCATAACTTTTCGATTTGATATTATTTTATTATTTTGTCCCATTACTGATTAGGGAGAGAGAAAACATTATTATATCATAACTCCCAAGAAAATTGTTATTATACGTCGAATTTTTAGCAACCACATCGATCATTCTAGTAGCTATAAAATTTATTTTTCTCGGAATCTAAACTATAAACAAATGTTTCCATCGAATATTATCTGGTAATTTAACGTATATCCAATTGCATAGGTTTCTTATTTGACCCTTTCAGGCTTTTTAATTTTAGGGCAAAGGTTGATACGGGTTTTCTAGAGTACATATGAATATAAATTTCTATATAATCAAAGGTGAGAGTGAAGACNCATCCAGCAAGTACGTATGAATTGCAATTTAAATTCTTCAAAACATTAGTCTATTGGTCTAAAAATAGTAAATGAAAATTTTTCTTTGTTATATCAACATCGGTAACACATTTACAATTGTCTATCTCTTCATAAAATTTAGTAATTTACAGCCAACAATCAAAATCTAAAGGTATTCTCTTCATCTCCTTGTTATATAAAATTACTTAGCCTGGATAAAGCGAGAATATTGTTCCTTATTTGATTAATTCAATATTTGAATTCTCTACTTTTAAACTCCCCCCAAAAGTAAATAGCAATTGCTAATCCTTATTCGGCAAAGAAAGTTGGAGAGTTTCTTTAAACATTTAATTTATTTAAAAATAAATTATTAATTCTACACTTTTTTTCTAGACATTCGTGATAACTTAAAAAAAATACCAAAAGTCTTCATATTCAAAAGGCTCTATTTGTAATGAAAATATAAACTATTCAGTCTAACTAAATCCAATTTAGATGAATTTTTTGATCTCTTTTGTGGTATCATAGATGCAATCATATTGAATAAAATTCAGACTTAAAGTAGGGTAATCGACTGAATTTAGTATCTAAAAGCAATTACTGTCAAATAGTCCGTAAGCATCCTTCAATTTTATATTAGCTAATGGACTATATTTTGTCCAAATACCAAAGGTCAGGTAATTCTAATCTGATTAGTCTACTTCAATTTATTCAACTATTTGGAAATCAATTAATGTTGATTAGTTTAACAATTTATTGGATAAAGTGTACTTTCCATATAATTGGTTTACCATCAACAAAAAAATGAGTATCATAAGAGAATTTAATTAGAAAATTAAATAAATAATCATCATCTAAAAAATAAAATTTAAAGTAATTCATAGTCCAATATAATAGGGTTATCAAATTAGCAGATTTTATATATGAATCGGTTTTGTAAAATAAGTATTTAAAATAACTTTCTTATTCTACCATAAACTATGGTATTGAATTCAGCATTGAGTTTTATTAAAAATAATAAGAATAGATTCATTTGATTATATATTTAATACATTCATGGAGTTTTAAATAATTAAAATGATTCTACTTTAGCTTAATAAATACATTGAAGAAATTGAATAGGATGACTAGATTATTAAAAGTGAATTCACTATATTTAAGAATATTATTAATTCCTAAAATTCTTCCATTTATTTTGTAATTGTAGTATGTAGTATATATTAAACTCATACAATCTCTATTATATAAAAAAGCCTATTTTTCTAGTTTATTTCTTATTGTAGTATAAATTTCTGTGTCAGAATCCTTACAAAGCAATAAAATACAAATTTTTCGTTCATCATAACTTTTCGATTTGATATTATTTTATTATTTTGTCCCATTACTGATTAGGGAGAGAGAAAACATTATTATATCATAACTCCCAAGAAAATTGTTATTATACGTCGAATTTTTAGCAACCACATCGATCATTCTAGTAGCTATAAAATTTATTTTTCTCGGAATCTAAAACTATAAACCAATGTTTCCATCGAATATTATCTGGCAATTTAACTTATATCCAATTGCATAGGTTTCTTATTTGACCCTTTCAGGCTTTTTAATTTTAGGGCAAAGGTTGATACTGGTTTTTCTAGAGTACATACGAATATAAATTTCTATATAATCAAAGGTGAGAGTGAAGACGCTGATTTTTCGCTTTTTCGCATGAAGAGTCCTCTTCTCCTTTAAAATATTGAAGGGGGCGAGAGTAATAAAGATTTGAATTTGAAATATTTTATGTGGATCAATAGGAATCATAAGAATTCAACTCAGGAAAATATTAAGATTATTTAGTTGTATTTGTGGATCGCTCTCAGCAATGGAAGAATAAAGTAATAGTTTAGAAATTCAGATTTTTATTAAAATTTAGTAAAGCTTCAAAATATCTATCTATTCAAAAATATTTAATGTTTGATCATGCTAATAATGGTTGAAATAATTAAAAATTACCTTTGTTCTTTTTATTTAAGTAATAATAAAAATTGACTATCAATGTATTATGGTCGTTTGAAATCTAGCAACTTATGCTATTCGCTCATCCAGAAGCGAGTGGCATTTAAGAATGAAAGAGTGACATCATAATGTAATTATACTTTTTTAGACTCATTTTACCATGTTTATCATTAAATTTATGTTATTATTACAATTATATTTTTCAAAGACAAGGCAATTCATTTCTTAAATTTAAAAGAACTATCAAATTATCTGATATATAAAACGCTCAAGTCAATCGAAAGGAAAAAGTATTTTAGATGTCACTTTTAAGCTTTAATTATGTATCACATATATATATAATATACATTCATATATTATTTCAATTAGTTTCAAATATTTGTTTGGAGCTTATAATATAGTCCAAAACAATCTCAACTGTGTATTGGCTACATTCTCAATATTTTTTTCATTTTTGTTGCTAGAATAATCCTAAAAATAATTGAATTATAATTGAATATTAAGGAATACATTAATTTTTCTATTTGTTTATTGTATAACATTATCGTTTTATATTTTATCAAATTTGATGAATAGCTTAATTTGTATTGCAGTTTTCAAGGATTTAATTAAAACTCTAACTTAAACAGTTAAAACCAATAAAATATTTCAAGAATAAATTTATTTATTAAATTTTGTAGTTTTAGATTTTAAAATACTTAAATATGTCTGAAAAGGAAACTCTATTCTTTGGCTTTTTAATTCTTTGAAGTAATTATTATTTGATTAATTGAAGAGAAAACACAAAAACATGATTGTGTTGATAATTAAGAATAGTTTTGAGAGCAAAAAATTTATAAATTAAAGAATTAAAAAAGATTTAAAATTATCAGGNTTCAATTTATTCAACTATTTGGAAATCAATTAATGTTGATTAGTTTAACAATTTATTGGATAAAGTGTACTTTCCATATAATTGGTTTACCATCAACAAAAAAATGAGTATCATAAGAGAATTTAATTAGAAAATTAAATAAATAATCATCATCTAAAAAATAAAATTTAAAGTAATTCATAGTCCAATATAATAGGGTTATCAAATTAGCAGATTTTATATATGAATCGGTTTTGTAAAATAAGTATTTAAAATAACTTTCTTATTCTACCATAAACTATGGTATTGAATTCAGCATTGAGTTTTATTAAAAATAATAAGAATAGATTCATTTGATTATATATTTAATACATTCATGGAGTTTTAAATAATTAAAATGATTCTACTTTAGCTTAATAAATACATTGAAGAAATTGAATAGGATGACTAGATTATTAAAAGTGAATTCACTATATTTAAGAATATTATTAATTCCTAAAATTCTTCCATTTATTTTGTAATTGTAGTATGTAGTATATATTAAACTCATACAATCTCTATTATATAAAAAAGCCTATTTTTCTAGTTTATTTCTTATTGTAGTATAAATTTCTGTGTCAGAATCCTTACAAAGCAATAAAATACAAATTTTTCGTTCATCATAACTTTTCGATTTGATATTATTTTATTATTTTGTCCCATTACTGATTAGGGAGAGAGAAAACATTATTATATCATAACTCCCAAGAAAATTGTTATTATACGTCGAATTTTTAGCAACCACATCGATCATTCTAGTAGCTATAAAATTTATTTTTCTCGGAATCTAAAACTATAAACCAATGTTTCCATCGAATATTATCTGGCAATTTAACTTATATCCAATTGCATAGGTTTCTTATTTGACCCTTTCAGGCTTTTTAATTTTAGGGCAAAGGTTGATACTGGTTTTTCTAGAGTACATACGAATATAAATTTCTATATAATCAAAGGTGAGAGTGAAGACGCTGATTTTTCGCTTTTTCGCATGAAGAGTCCTCTTCTCCTTTAAAATATTGAAGGGGGCGAGAGTAATAAAGATTTGAATTTGAAATATTTTATGTGGATCAATAGGAATCATAAGAATTCAACTCAGGAAAATATTAAGATTATTTAGTTGTATTTGTGGATCGCTCTCAGCAATGGAAGAATAAAGTAATAGTTTAGAAATTCAGATTTTTATTAAAATTTAGTAAAGCTTCAAAATATCTATCTATTCAAAAATATTTAATGTTTGATCATGCTAATAATGGTTGAAATAATTAAAAATTACCTTTGTTCTTTTTATTTAAGTAATAATAAAAATTGACTATCAATGTATTATGGTCGTTTGAAATCTAGCAACTTATGCTATTCGCTCATCCAGAAGCGAGTGGCATTTAAGAATGAAAGAGTGACATCATAATGTAATTATACTTTTTTAGACTCATTTTACCATGTTTATCATTAAATTTATGTTATTATTACAATTATATTTTTCAAAGACAAGGCAATTCATTTCTTAAATTTAAAAGAACTATCAAATTATCTGATATATAAAACGCTCAAGTCAATCGAAAGGAAAAAGTATTTTAGATGTCACTTTTAAGCTTTAATTATGTATCACATATATATATAATATACATTCATATATTATTTCAATTAGTTTCAAATATTTGTTTGGAGCTTATAATATAGTCCAAAACAATCTCAACTGTGTATTGGCTACATTCTCAATATTTTTTTCATTTTTGTTGCTAGAATAATCCTAAAAATAATTGAATTATAATTGAATATTAAGGAATACATTAATTTTTCTATTTGTTTATTGTATAACATTATCGTTTTATATTTTATCAAATTTGATGAATAGCTTAATTTGTATTGCAGTTTTCAAGGATTTAATTAAAACTCTAACTTAAACAGTTAAAACCAATAAAATATTTCAAGAATAAATTTATTTATTAAATTTTGTAGTTTTAGATTTTAAAATACTTAAATATGTCTGAAAAGGAAACTCTATTCTTTGGCTTTTTAATTCTTTGAAGTAATTATTATTTGATTAATTGAAGAGAAAACACAAAAACATGATTGTGTTGATAATTAAGAATAGTTTTGAGAGCAAAAAATTTATAAATTAAAGAATTAAAAAAGATTTAAAATTATCAGGACTTAAAAAGCAAGAACAGTTGAGATTAATAGTAAAGAACTAAAATTGTCCTAAAGAATTTATGAGAGAATAAGAAAGTTATAGACTTTTTGAGAATAAACGTACAGATAGGAATGAAAAGGAAAAGAAGTCTTTTGAGCAATGGAAAGAGAAAAACTTTGGGAGTCTTTATAAAAAATAATTTAAAGTAATTAATTAGTATATTTTTTCATCATCACCTCTGCTGTTATTAATATACTTAACCTCTTCTTGAATTACTTAATTAATAATTGATAATTCTTTGAATAATTTAAGTATTAATTAACAAAATAACATAGCAGTTTCGAAAATTTGTGCATTAAATCATCCTAAGTAATAATAGGGGGTCATCATGTTACTTCTGATTCTTGAATAAAGAGTTCCCCTTTCAAGTTTTGAGAACATTCATTGCCCAAATTTTCTCAATATTGCAGAATTGGTTTTCTACAAAACAGAGATCTTAGTAATTACTTTACTATCTCAATTAAATTTCTTATTAATTTCAGATCTAAGAAGTACCCTATTTTTATTGTTTTGATTCTAATCTGTAAGAGTGAATTGCAGAACTAAACATTCGATTAATATTAATCCATAATGCACAAATTACACCTAGCCACTTGCTTAATTTACTTAAAATATAGAGATCATAAACAGCCATTGATATTTCAATAAATATTTGAACAAAAGGGATTGAAAATTCCTTGTTGAACCAAATAAGTATTCATTTAAATTTAAACAATTATTTAGATTATTAAATAATTGGATATTAATTATTCAATTATTGGCTATTATTATATTAATTATCAATTGAATGCAAAAAAGCAACACAATCTTCATTTATGTAAATGTAATTGTTGTAGTAGAATTTAATGTAAAACAACTCTATGCATACAATGATTAATGATTTTATTCAACATATACAAAATATATTTAATTTCATTTAATTTATTCCAAACTTGCTTCGGCAAAACAACTCCACTAGTGCACTCGATTAGCGATGGAGTTGCAATCAAAAACCTTTGGTCTGCTACATTTTAAAATTGTCTAGAAATATTAGTCGTTGTTGAATTTGAATTGAAGAACAAAATAGGGATCTAAAACAAAGGATGCCTAATCTATCTAAAAGAATTCAGACTTAAATGAATATTTGAAATATCACAAATGATTGAAAAATGAAGAATTTTCTTATGGAATTGTAATAATTATGAATTATAATAAGACAATAAAAATACTTTAATAATTAAATAATAAAAATTGTGGTTCAAAACTTTAGCCGAAATTAGTTTAGACTATAAGCTTCTGCTTTTATTATATAAAGCCCACTATTTTGAGTATTTCCATTAAGATTGTACTTTAAATCCTTAAACAGATTAGGCAGGAAAAGTTATAGTAGTAATACTTTAAACAAAATTGCTCTCATAGATTATGGTTTCTACATCTTGATATATTAAATAAATTTTTATTCGATAGAACCTGTTGGATTAATCCCAAAGCCATATTTTTAAAGTGTTTAATTCATATTATTCTTACAAATCGAATATTATTGAATCTCCTATTTCACTTGATATAAATCCATATTCACTGGTAATAGTATAAATATTGTCACGTAAACAACTGCCATAAATGCCTACAGAAAACTCATTCTATTATTTAGATGAGATTAATGTTCCCATGTCATAGTTTAGCACGTTTTTATATTTTCCCCTAATTATTGATGTTAATGTTGCTTCTCTTCTGTTACAAGGTGTATTAACAACTAATTAAATATTGCACAATAATAAAATGGCTAATAAAAAGCAACTGTTCCATTTCATCTCTATAGAAATTAATATATTAATATTGTAATTTTTATGTAATATTCATTGTGAATTGGTTTAAACAGAAACATCTTTAGATTTACAAGATAAAGACAACATTAACATTCTCAAAAGTTTTGATTATCTGGAAGCTATGAAATTTTATTTTGTTCATTCATATATTTAATTAAAAAAGAAAAATGTATTTTCTACATCAAATATCAAATATAGAGCTAAATTATATTATTAATATTAAACATTTTTTTAATGAAATTTAATATTCTGGTTTCTCTTAAGTGGATTGAAAGTTCTTTGCGTTTTAAATCATTTTTAAACTTTATAATGATATGACCTATCTAATTCTTAGAGTTCTTTTCCAGCATAAAATGGTTTTTCAAAAGTCGATAAACAAAAAGATTTAAAATTGTAATGAAAATATATGAGAAATCATAATTTATTCTTGATAGAGGGAGGATTAATATATTGACTCATTTAACACGTTTTAGATAATAAGATTATGTATAATTGCTATATTCAATAACTGTCTAGCCATAAAATCATTGAATATCTACCAGACAGTTAAAATAGATTTGCACTATCTTATAAGCAATTTCGACTATAGGTATNTCATTTAAATTTAAACAATTATTTAGATTATTAAATAATTGGATATTAATTATTCAATTATTGGCTATTATTATATTAATTATCAATTGAATGCAAAAAAGCAACACAATCTTCATTTATGTAAATGTAATTGTTGTAGTAGAATTTAATGTAAAACAACTCTATGCATACAATGATTAATGATTTTATTCAACATATACAAAATATATTTAATTTCATTTAATTTATTCCAAACTTGCTTCGGCAAAACAACTCCACTAGTGCACTCGATTAGCGATGGAGTTGCAATCAAAAACCTTTGGTCTGCTACATTTTAAAATTGTCTAGAAATATTAGTCGTTGTTGAATTTGAATTGAAGAACAAAATAGGGATCTAAAACAAAGGATGCCTAATCTATCTAAAAGAATTCAGACTTAAATGAATATTTGAAATATCACAAATGATTGAAAAATGAAGAATTTTCTTATGGAATTGTAATAATTATGAATTATAATAAGACAATAAAAATACTTTAATAATTAAATAATAAAAATTGTGGTTCAAAACTTTAGCCGAAATTAGTTTAGACTATAAGCTTCTGCTTTTATTATATAAAGCCCACTATTTTGAGTATTTCCATTAAGATTGTACTTTAAATCCTTAAACAGATTAGGCAGGAAAAGTTATAGTAGTAATACTTTAAACAAAATTGCTCTCATAGATTATGGTTTCTACATCTTGATATATTAAATAAATTTTTATTCGATAGAACCTGTTGGATTAATCCCAAAGCCATATTTTTAAAGTGTTTAATTCATATTATTCTTACAAATCGAATATTATTGAATCTCCTATTTCACTTGATATAAATCCATATTCACTGGTAATAGTATAAATATTGTCACGTAAACAACTGCCATAAATGCCTACAGAAAACTCATTCTATTATTTAGATGAGATTAATGTTCCCATGTCATAGTTTAGCACGTTTTTATATTTTCCCCTAATTATTGATGTTAATGTTGCTTCTCTTCTGTTACAAGGTGTATTAACAACTAATTAAATATTGCACAATAATAAAATGGCTAATAAAAAGCAACTGTTCCATTTCATCTCTATAGAAATTAATATATTAATATTGTAATTTTTATGTAATATTCATTGTGAATTGGTTTAAACAGAAACATCTTTAGATTTACAAGATAAAGACAACATTAACATTCTCAAAAGTTTTGATTATCTGGAAGCTATGAAATTTTATTTTGTTCATTCATATATTTAATTAAAAAAGAAAAATGTATTTTCTACATCAAATATCAAATATAGAGCTAAATTATATTATTAATATTAAACATTTTTTTAATGAAATTTAATATTCTGGTTTCTCTTAAGTGGATTGAAAGTTCTTTGCGTTTTAAATCATTTTTAAACTTTATAATGATATGACCTATCTAATTCTTAGAGTTCTTTTCCAGCATAAAATGGTTTTTCAAAAGTCGATAAACAAAAAGATTTAAAATTGTAATGAAAATATATGAGAAATCATAATTTATTCTTGATAGAGGGAGGATTAATATATTGACTCATTTAACACGTTTTAGATAATAAGATTATGTATAATTGCTATATTCAATAACTGTCTAGCCATAAAATCATTGAATATCTACCAGACAGTTAAAATAGATTTGCACTATCTTATAAGCAATTTCGACTATAGGTATAAAAACTCTAGAAATTTACTTTATAAAATGAGTTTATCAATTTCAACATTAAACTGCATTATTTCCGTTTTTCATTATGCAATCACTGATCTAGTTACAATTCAAAGAGCATATTTGAAACTTCAAAAAAATAATCAATTATAAAGTTATGTTGTTTATGGATATGAAGTTATTAATAAATAAAAAATAGATTTTATAATAAGGATAGTCCTTATTTAATAGCTATAGTTTTCTTGCAAATTCTTTTTCTTCATGGTTGTTAAGTCAATATTTTAAATATTCAAGTGTATTTGATCCAAATATAAGTTAAAATAGATATAGATAATTAGATTTTAATTTAATTCAAGTTACATTAACAAAATTAGCATATAGCTTAAATATGAATATACCATTGTATTTGATGTTTCTAAATTCTCAGATATTTTCTACTATGATTTAAACATTTTATTCAAATAGGTGCATAGACCAACTTAAAATGCATTAGCTTCTTCTCTCTACTGTTATTGATACTGCAAATATATATATCTATCAATTTTTTTTGATGGTGGTTATAGCTTATGAAACATTGGAAAAATAGTTTGTTACTCCTATTTGTGAATCTAGAGTCCTTTTTAATATGATAAACGTTTGATTTGGTTCTTACTCTACCTTGCTATAAATATATAAGTGGTGTCTTAGAAATCTTACAGCCTCTACATTAGGTGCTATAGACACACTGAAGGAGAGACTCTTATATATGTAATATTCATTCTTTAGAATGATGCAATGATGAGATAAATGGATCCTCTTATTTTCCTGTATTTTATTGATATCCACTATTATCCACCTATCAAATTACATATCTAATCAAATTAGTTATTTTATCTTATATTAAAAATTCGACTACAGATAACCTAGATAACTTAGTTTTAGTTATTTGAAATATACCTATGCTATCAATTCCCTGATTTTTTCAACTGACGCATATGACAAAAAAAAATTAACTTCCTTCTCAAGCATTTAATTCTTTTTTCAGCAGTTTCTAAAAATTTCTAAACCCTTTTGAGCTTTTACAAGTGGTGACTATTTATTTAATGAGTATACTTGCCAAGATTGTGCTTACTTTTAGGAGTTGTCTATTGTGCTTTGACAAGAGGCATCAGGCATCATCATCAAAAATTAATTCAGCTACTCAATTGATATTGGGACGATATTATGATGGCTCCTTTCTATCAACTTTTAATAGTATTCAACCTAGTCTATAAGTACTACCAAAATGATACCGATTATTGCTAATATGCACGGCCCCAGGTTTATTATAGTAATGGAGTATCAACATCATGCACATTTGATGTACCTGCAAATGTAATCAGTAAAAATTATGAGGAAAACTTGAATGGCGTGCTAAATTTTACCGAATTTTAAGATGGCTCTACCCTGTCGCTGCAAATCTATTTATATAGCTAACTAATTTTCATTAACAAACTGCCGCTGGATAAATAAGCTCTTTTGTAATTGGAGCTGAGTTATCCTATTATCAATCAATTAAGTCATGTATTAAAAGTGGATTCAATATATGTTCCTCTTCTTTACTGAACTTAAGTTACATATTCTGATAATTTTAATTATAGTCAACTATCTATCAACTACATCACGCACATATAGCTCATTACTTGATAAATTTGCATCATGATTAATGGGACACATGCTTCATAAGGTGTTGTGGGCACACTATTAAAATGCAGACTCTAAAGTTCCGGGATTAAACAACTGATGATTATTGGTTGCCCTTGCACTTTAATGTTTGAAAATCTGTTGTAAGAATGAAAACTTAAGCGTATGTATAATATGTTGTCTTGGACGTGATAAAATTTCGTTTTATTTCTCTTTGTTGCCTTGGCTGTTAATTGCATTCTAGGGTCTTCTGAAAGCACAAGAACATTTGCTTCTGGTTCTTATTTCAAAATTTTGTTAATGGATCTTACTTAATAAAATCTTACATGTTTTATTTGTTTATTGCGCTTCTTCAACAAAACTATTCTACGTTTGGAAAGCTTTATTTTACATAAATATAACTTGGTTAGGAAAGTCGTTATTTGAAAAGAGCATAAGATTCATTTGATTTTAATTTATAGTTTTATATTCCAGCATCCAAGTCGAAAAAGCTGTAACTTTTTAAGAAATTTGAATAGCCAATTAGATGTAAATTTGTATAAGGATAGAGTTTCATTCTAGATAATTGAGTGACTACTGATTAGGAAGAAACCTTAAATATATTATAGCTGTAATATTTGTAGAGTATGAAGCAAAACAATGTTAAAGTGAATCATGAAATATTAGTCTAGTTAACTAAGGATTTTCTAGTACAAGAAAATAATTCTTGAATCAATACTAAACAGTCAAATTTTAACTGTTAATAAAATTTACTGGAAGCAATAATATTTTTTAAAAATTAAAATGTCAAGAAAAAGATACAGTTCTGGTTCCAAGAGATATAGCTCTCCCTAAGGCTTTTACAATTCAGCATCCCCTTAGAGGAACAGCTACGAGGATTCCTTGGCAGCAGAATGCCTTATAAAGGCCTTCTTGGACATGGGGGAATGGAGGACCCTATTTTGAAAATATTATTCATCGGAGGATCTAAACCCAAGGAAGGTGAAAATGAACTGGTAAAAACTCTAGAAATTTACTTTATAAAATGAGTTTATCAATTTCAACATTAAACTGCATTATTTCCGTTTTTCATTATGCAATCACTGATCTAGTTACAATTCAAAGAGCATATTTGAAACTTCAAAAAAATAATCAATTATAAAGTTATGTTGTTTATGGATATGAAGTTATTAATAAATAAAAAATAGATTTTATAATAAGGATAGTCCTTATTTAATAGCTATAGTTTTCTTGCAAATTCTTTTTCTTCATGGTTGTTAAGTCAATATTTTAAATATTCAAGTGTATTTGATCCAAATATAAGTTAAAATAGATATAGATAATTAGATTTTAATTTAATTCAAGTTACATTAACAAAATTAGCATATAGCTTAAATATGAATATACCATTGTATTTGATGTTTCTAAATTCTCAGATATTTTCTACTATGATTTAAACATTTTATTCAAATAGGTGCATAGACCAACTTAAAATGCATTAGCTTCTTCTCTCTACTGTTATTGATACTGCAAATATATATATCTATCAATTTTTTTTGATGGTGGTTATAGCTTATGAAACATTGGAAAAATAGTTTGTTACTCCTATTTGTGAATCTAGAGTCCTTTTTAATATGATAAACGTTTGATTTGGTTCTTACTCTACCTTGCTATAAATATATAAGTGGTGTCTTAGAAATCTTACAGCCTCTACATTAGGTGCTATAGACACACTGAAGGAGAGACTCTTATATATGTAATATTCATTCTTTAGAATGATGCAATGATGAGATAAATGGATCCTCTTATTTTCCTGTATTTTATTGATATCCACTATTATCCACCTATCAAATTACATATCTAATCAAATTAGTTATTTTATCTTATATTAAAAATTCGACTACAGATAACCTAGATAACTTAGTTTTAGTTATTTGAAATATACCTATGCTATCAATTCCCTGATTTTTTCAACTGACGCATATGACAAAAAAAAATTAACTTCCTTCTCAAGCATTTAATTCTTTTTTCAGCAGTTTCTAAAAATAACAACTCTAGAAATTTACTTTATAAAATGAGTTTATCAATTTCAACATTAAACTGCATTATTTCCGTTTTTCATTATGCAATCACTGATCTAGTTACAATTCAAAGAGCATATTTGAAACTTCAAAAAAAAAATCAATTATAAAGTTATGTTGTTTATGGATATGAAGTTATCAATAAATAAAAAATAGATTTTTATAATAAGGATAGTCCTTATTTAATAGCTATAGTTTTCTTGCAAATTCTTTTCTTCATGGTTGTTAAGTCAATATTTTAAATATTAAAGTGTATTTGATCCAAATATAAGTTAAAATAGATATAGATAATTAGATTTTAATTTAATACAAGTTACATTAACAAAATTAGCATATAGTCTTAAATATTTATATACCATTGTATTTGATGTTTCTAAATTCTCAGATATTTTCTACTATGATTTAAACATTTTATTCAAATAGGTGCATAGACCAACTTAAAATGCATTAGCTTCTTCCCTCTACTGTTATTGATACTGCAAATATATATATCTATCAATTTTTTTTGATGGTGGTTATAGCTTATGAAACATTGGAAAAATAATTTGTTACTCCTATTTGTGAATCTAGAGTCCTTTGTAATATGATAAACGTTTGATTTGGTTCTTACTCTATGCTTCTTTCACAGCATTACTTGTGTAAATTGCTAAAACATGTGGACAATACTTCTTAATGTATTTCAGAAATCCAAATTGCTTTGTCCTAGATATTCTTTTATAGCCTACTCTAAATTTTGTTAATTCATAATCGCATGAGAATAATTATTTTATTGTTCCTTGAAGATTTTATAACCCTGATAACTGAATGTAGATTGGCTTCTTCTCAGAATTTGCATAAATATTCATACTATGTAAACCTTATTCCTCTATATAAGACTAAAGCAAGTTCATATTTCATTTTAACGAAATATATTGAAATAAATTTATTGTATTTATCAGCTTGGAATGTGTCATCTTTAACATGTGAATGTTGTGAAAGAAGGTTTTGAATAGAAACAAGCATGCACCTTTCAGGAACTATTGCTTTAAGTTAATTATCATTTGCTCTGTAATACCTTGCTATAAATATATAAGTGGTGTCTTAGAAATCTTACAGCCTCTACATTAGGTGCTCTAGACACACTGAAGGAGAGACTCTTATATATGTAATATTCATTCTTTAAAATGATGCAACGATGAGATAAATGGATCCTCTTATTTTCCTGTATTTTATTGATATCCACTATTATCCATCTATCAAATTACATATCTAATCAAATTAGTTATTTTATCTTATATTAAAAATTCGTCTACAGATAACCTAGATTACTTAGTTTTAGTTATTTGAAATATACCTATGCTATCAATTCCCTGACTTTTTCAACTGACGCATATGATATCCATAATTTAGTTACTGCGACTGAGCTTATACCTAAAAAAAATAAACCTTTAGAAGTATTGCATAAAAATTTTGTTATTGACAAAAAAAAATTAACTTCCTTCTCAAGCATTTAATTCTTTTTTCAGCAGTTTCTAAAAATCTCGAAGTATTAAAAGCATATGTTTCTTTGTATTTTATACTATAGATAATAGCAAAATAAAGCTCTATCGAAAGGCCAAACCATTTAATTGTATAGTGTATCCAGCTCACTCTCTGTGCAGTTTATACAAATACATTAAAATATTAATTGTTACCTGCTACATCTATTGCAACATATTCTACATTTCTAGCTTTATTTTCAAAATTTGCAATTGCAATGAAACAACCGATGGCATGATATGATGGTTTCTCTGGATGATTTTTTGCTTGCACATAATTTTGGTATTTACACCATTTTCTCAATGAAATGGACTACTTTATAATTCGTGTTTAAATTGAGTCACTTTTTTTAGCATAAGAGTCTCCTTATCATGATAACATTCAATGCTTAAAGCCCTTAACTTTGATTCCAAAACTGAAGATTTTTAAATGCGAAGGAAATATTTCTCATGTCTTAGCTAGTAATGAAATGCAAAATTATTTGCAAAGCCCTTCTTGAATAGCTTTTTGCTATTATCTCCTTCTGCTTCTACTCTCAGAGCGAATGCTTGTATAGGATGTTGAGAATATCTAAATTTGCGTACACCATTCTTAATTTGATTCAACTTTTGATGACGTTATGGTCTGCCCCCTGTGCCACGTGAGCTTTAGCTGGTCTGACATATTCAAACACTCCTGTGCTTCGACTTTGGCCGTCTTTAAGATTCCCCAGGGCTGGCCAAAATGATTTATTATTCAACATCAACATATATATATATATATTTACTGGAAGCTAATCTTTCCAGTTCCTTTTACTGAATTTTGATTAATTATACTTACAAAGATAAATTTCATATAGCATTTCAACTAGGACGCTATGAATAAGCATATTGTGAAGGCAAATAGTTATTAATTAGGAATTATAATCTTCTAATTTATTTACGGTATTTTAAATATATTCTCCATATTTTTGGATGATTGGATCCTTTAATAAAGTTGTATATTTTTATTAATTTTGCAAATCCAAACGAAATTAGAATAAAAAAAGTCTATAATATTCTTAATTCTGTATGATCCTAGGCAAAAGTAAAGTTTTATATAATTTTATTTAGATACTTATTAATCAATGTAGTTTTATAATTTATTGAATGTAACCTTAATAATTCTAGTTAATATCAATTGAGAAATATTTTAGATTCATTAAAAATATTCAGATTCTCTATTTTTTGATAAAATGATAATATGCAAAACATAGACATTAAATACTGAATTTTACATTGAATATCTTGATGTATATTTAATGATAGAATAATTTATCGTAAATAACAATATCATTTAATAAATTATCACTATATTTTACTATATTCCAATTCATATACTCTAAATTTTAATAGAGGATACCAAATCCACATTATGAAGTATTTTCCATCATTTGTAACATTAAAATAACTCACTTCTTTCTAGCATTCCAAAGGTTGACAAACTTGTTCTAATTAACCATCATTTAGATTGTTTCTGAAAAAATAAAAATATCTGTAATATTTCATTACTATCAATTAAGTTTAAATATTAAAAGTAATTGAAAATTCTTATGATTTCTAATCAAGATTTTAATCATTAAAAATCAATACTTGTTGCCTTTGACATTCACAATTTTGTAAATTATAAATTTCTAACTTTCCTTCAAATGATATACAAATAATTTAATTATCCATGAGGAATCTAGCACCTCTATTAATCTCATCAATAGATGAGAGTATGATAGCTTTGAACTACCATTATGATTATTAATTTTTTTCCCATAATATTACTTATTTATCCTCACTCCAAGAAATTAATTATTATTCAGATTAACTTAAACTGATTGATACTACAGATTGATTATGGTTCTCTAGAGATTATAAAAGTCTAATTTAATTTAAATCATATTAGACTCTCCATATTTTAATTGTCTTATCGACACTGCAAGATATCATTTCATTTTCTTATTCATTTAAAATTAATTAGATTACCCAATTTGAATGTGATTTTTTTGGTTTTACACTCTCCCATTTACTAGAAGAAAACCAACTCTACTTCTCCTTCCAGCTTCTGATTGTGTTATCTTCACTTCCAGAGAAAAACCAATTATTTATTTTACTAAAAACTATACATTTTACCAGCTTTTCGTGCCCTTCTAAGATGTAATTCTTATCAAATAATCAACCTTATTAAAAATTCCATATTTTAATGTTTTTATTTGAACAAGCCACCATTATAGTGCCAGTATTATTGAATGCTAATGCATGACACCAATCATTTTGTTTGACTTCCTAAACTAATTTAAAATTTAATTAATTATATGCTTTTGTATCTATATTTATTTTTTTTAATTCTGAATTCTGTTGCTTAAATGAAGTAATAAATAAGAGTTATTCTAAAGTATTTTAAACACCAAGCAACTGTGAAAGAAATTTTTATTTAGTAATTTAGATTTTTGTTTCATAATTTTAGTTAATATTTTCAATCACTTTTTTAAATTCATCAATTTAATTATTCCTTATATCTTCAATTGATTGATTCAATTTATTTATTTCATCAAAAAATTTATAAGAACATTATTTTTATTAGAACTCTACTATCTCATCTGCCCAAATGCTAATTTAATTTAGCAATTAATCCATTGTTTATAAAAGAGATGTTTTTTGTGACATAATTTCTACTGTGAAATTATGTAATTTGCTAAGAATTACATGACTGAAATCAGAAATTGTATCTAGATAATCATTTTTACGTTCTTCAATTGTTTGTATCGCATCATCAATATTAATCCCATTAAATCTTCCTCTTATCTCATATAAGCATTTAGAACAAATTAACCTTTAGAATCCTACAAGATTCTCATCAAGTAGTACTATGATTGGAGGACTATCATGTTAATTTTAACATTGAATTAACTCAATTTGTTCTTGCATTTTGCATTTTAATTATTACTTCATAATTGTGTTTTCAAACAATATCGTCTTTTAAAACTCATTAATTTTATCATTCACTTATTTCTTATTGCTCATCATCTCTTAATTTTATGTTGATAATATCTTTGCTATCGCTAAGAATATTTAATTGACCTTTTCCTTATCGTTTTTGGCAGATACTTGAAAAAACTCTTGAATTCTATTCCACTTGCACCATTATTCAACTTGTTAATTTTTCATGATTTCATTCTTGTCAAATATATTTTAAATTACGAAAATGGGAACATTATCTATATCATTCGTTAAAAATATATTTTTCCAATAATCCAAAGTCTATATTGGCTCATTATGATTACTATTATAGACTATGACCCAGCAATCCATCTTTATTTTGAAATCATATATCAAACTTTTAAAAGCTTTTGCATCTGGCATATCCCAAAGCTAAAATTTATTTTAAATCTTACATAAAGTGTGATAATTTAATTATTAATAGTTATCTATCTTTCTCTTCTATCTAAACCTAGTGTTAGTGTGCTATAAACATTAGAATCTATAAGTTGTTATACTATAGTGGTTTTTCCAACACTAACTAAAATAATAAAATTACTTGCAATTTCCAATGATCATTATATTATAGGTTGACTTCTACTAAGTTGTCATTTTTAAATAATTATCTTATTATGGAAAATACTTATATAAATAATATTTCAATAAAATTTTAATCTAAAAATGTTTAACTTAATTCCTTGAAACAATTTTCAAAAATGATATTGTTAACTTAAAAAATGTCAAATTTCTTGTTCATTTTTATAAATAACTCAAAGAAACGTGCAAATTAATTATTATTATTATTATTCTATTTAACATAAAAATAACTCAATCATTCAGTTAAAAGCTTTGCAATTATTTTTTCCAATCTATTACATTAGTTTTTTGGTTATTGTATTTACTAATTATTATTGAAGATGCCTCTTAGATTTATTAAAAACTCTGAAATATGGAAATTGGAATGGAAATTTATTATATGGCGGTATGAAAGATTACATTAGTGGGTCCTACAGATTTTAGGGTACAGGTAGAACAGCTAATTAAAATTATTGGGGAGAAATTTGTATATTGAATTTTAATTCATTTCTTCTATCTCGTTAAAGTAATTATTGATAAAAGTAGTTTAACCAAAGTTTCCGTTGTTCATCCTACTGATAACCTTATTTGTATGCTTTGCTATAAGAAGTTCTAGAGGGGGTAATATCAAATCTAAAAATTCGTTAGGTAAGCATTTAGGAAATCCACAAACCTTTTTAAAGCTAGATTTATATAATTTTTATAAGCGTTGAAATATGTTTTTGTATTTCTAGGTTGGGATTGAAGGACAAATATAGAGTATGTGTGGAAGGAGAAAAGTTTAGAATAATTAATATTTCTGCTTCCAATTAAGTTTTTAAGAAACCCATAGCAACTTTCCACTTAAAAATTTTAGAGTTTATTCTACTTTATCAAGCTATAGACTTATTTTTCCATTGTTCAATATATTTATTCCGAGGTATTTATAAGATTTCACAATAGGAAATCCTTATATATTGTTATATTAACAGCGCTTATGATTTTGGATGAAAAAGATTCCACATTTTTTCTAGTTTAATCTAAGTTCATATTCTTCAGAAATTAAAACCAACTTTTATAAAAAGGATTGGATATTTCTATGAGCAATAATAATTACAATGTCGTCCGCAAATTCATAGGAAGTATAATTAAAATTACAGTTTTGTTTTAATGAAGCTAAAAAATCTTCAAGATATATATTAAAAAGTGCGGGAGACAGTGGAGATCCTTGAGGAACACCGTTTTAGAAGTAAAATGTGGTATTCATTTATGGGCAAATATAATGGAGATTTGTATAGAGGTGATTAAGGAATTTTATTTCGATGCCATCCAAAATTGATTTAGCAGATAAAATATTAAATAGTCTTTATCTATTTATGCTATTGAAGGCATTGCTAAAATCAATAAAGATGCAATCCATTTTATCCTATTTCTTGTAACCAGTTAAAGTATTTAAGAGTCTGATGATATTTATTTGAGTAGATGAACCAGGAATGAATCCTGCTTGACCTTTAGATAAGCGAGTGGACAAATATTGTTATAGTCTTGGCAGAAATCTTAATTCAAGCAGCTTAAATAGGGGACTTAGAATTGTAATAGGTCGAAACTAAGTTTTAGTAGGGATATCGGGGAAAACCTTGTTTAAGGGTACTAGTCTTGCTCTACAGCATGCGTAGTTGGTTTCAATTGTAGATTATTTCCATATATCACAAAAAATATGGACATTTTTACAATTCCTAATAAAATTGTCAGATACGCCATCAAAGCTAATTGCTTTATTTCGTGACATCCTTCTTTGTAGCNTTTGTATATTGAATTTTAATTCATTTCTTCTATCTCGTTAAAGTAATTATTGATAAAAGTAGTTTAACCAAAGTTTCCGTTGTTCATCCTACTGATAACCTTATTTGTATGCTTTGCTATAAGAAGTTCTAGAGGGGGTAATATCAAATCTAAAAATTCGTTAGGTAAGCATTTAGGAAATCCACAAACCTTTTTAAAGCTAGATTTATATAATTTTTATAAGCGTTGAAATATATATTAATTAAATTTACATTTATCATTATATTTAAACAAACTTTTTGATAATTGAAAATGAGTAGGCTGGTCTTATAGTTGATCTATATCCTAATTAAATTAAAATTCTGAATCATTGTTCATCAATTTATTTCTTAATTTAATTTTCACTCATTTTTAAAGAAGCTTCTATTTCTTTAAGAAAATTTTAAGAAAATAATTTTCTAGTAATACGCACCCTAAGTTGGGTCAAGTTCTGCTTGTTTCTTCTTAGCCATTAAATGAGCTAAATAAGATAGACAAGATCTACAGGAAGACACTAAAATATAACTGGAACTATACATTATTCATTAATAATAGAATTTGAAATAAAAGTCCTCTTTACTCTTGCTTTTTTTAATACTTCAAACTTTCAGGCACTTCTATAATAAGTTATTCACATAATGGTATTCCAGCTAGATGCATTCAACTCGAAGTATTAAAAGCATATGTTTCTTTGTATTTTATACTATAGATAATAGCAAAATAAAGCTCTATCGAAAGGCCAAACCATTTAATTGTATAGTGTATCCAGCTCACTCTCTGTGCAGTTTATACAAATACATTAAAATATTAATTGTTACCTGCTACATCTATTGCAACATATTCTACATTTCTAGCTTTATTTTCAAAATTTGCAATTGCAATGAAACAACCGATGGCATGATATGATGGTTTCTCTGGATGATTTTTTGCTTGCACATAATTTTGGTATTTACACCATTTTCTCAATGAAATGGACTACTTTATAATTCGTGTTTAAATTGAGTCACTTTTTTTAGCATAAGAGTCTCCTTATCATGATAACATTCAATGCTTAAAGCCCTTAACTTTGATTCCAAAACTGAAGATTTTTAAATGCGAAGGAAATATTTCTCATGTCTTAGCTAGTAATGAAATGCAAAATTATTTGCAAAGCCCTTCTTGAATAGCTTTTTGCTATTATCTCCTTCTGCTTCTACTCTCAGAGCGAATGCTTGTATAGGATGTTGAGAATATCTAAATTTGCGTACACCATTCTTAATTTGATTCAACTAACATTCTATAAATTGAGAGGATAGAAATGTAATTAGTCATAATTTAAATTTAACTCCATCCTATTAAACTATGATAATTAGAACTTCAACTTTAATGAATACGAGAGTCAGAGTTGAAATGAATGAGTTTTAGAAATCATATGCACTCCTTATAAATGTTTGGCTCTGCACACTTTTCGATACTTGATGGATATTGACAAAATCCAGTGAAGTAAATTACTTATTATATGGTGCTTTAGTATGTTTTAGAAAGTTTGCTCAGCTAGTATGAGTAGCAGTGAGAATCATTAATATTATCAACTTTAATTTTCATATAATGAAAAGTTGAGAACGTTTTTAATCTATCTGATATTGTTAAGAGGGATTAGCAATAAAAGCATAAATATTTAAAAATCATTGTTTATGCAACAAGGAATACTATATCAAAATAAACAAATATAGATGGTGGCTAATTTTTGTCTAAATTAATAACAATTGACTTCTACATATAAAATACTTGAGAACATACTGAGTTGAGTGGTTATTTCAGCTAAAGAAACTGAAGAAGTATATGTGAAGTAGAAAAAATGTGATATTGTAATCTTCTTGACTACGAAACATTCAGTGATTCATATGCATATACTTTATACATCTGAATATTTCAGATGAATCAAAGATTATCAATTTGAAATGCATGTTATTGTGAAAAATTGAATCTTATAGCATATATCCCATTCGTATTAAAAAATAGAATGATATTTCGCACTATAAATGTTGATATTGAACTTCAACCATTTTTATTAGGACATATGCCTTGCTGGCATGAGAATGCATCTTATAAGCATTTTGATACCCTAAATTTACCTGTAATAGAATCAGTATGATTGATTTGTACAACAATACATGTATGAGATGGAAATTCAAGATCTTTGTTCAACTTAGATACTGCTGTATCAAATTTGATTATACTTGCAAAGCATTAGCAATTTGAAGTATTAATTCTTAGATATTCAGCTGCTCTCAACAAATGCTGTCTTCTTGAAGGAATCAATCAAATTGAAGTAAACTACCAACTTTCGTGTTTGATTTGCTTCAAATATATGGTATAACCTATCCCTACTTTCAAAGTAATTTTTACGATAAAGTGGCAACTCATCAAATGTAATTGTCTTTGAACAACAAGAATGATCAAAGTAGAAAATTGTCTAAGTTGATTGATTATTTAAGTTATGGGTTATTCATATTTTCTTAATTGGATAGAAATTTTGTGATCCCAAAAATAGCTACTCAACCTGAGTTGATGAATATTTATTTCACTTTACTTTCTAACATCTCAATATATTCAATTATCTTTTTCCAACTATTTAATCAAATGCAACATATCTCATTACACTCACAACCTCTATTCTATAAATCAATTCCTCATATAACAATGAGTGACCATTCTTTTTTTGAGAAATATTCTGATAATTATATGAAGGAAGTAATAATAAACTATTCATCTAATGCTATTAAGATAAATTACGATAGCAGATCTGATTTCCTTTTAAGATTTATCAGGAGAATATGCACTTTAAAAGTCATTCTGCTATCCCATGCAAAAAGAAATTTTTATCCCTACCGATATTTGTTTTGAAAAAGAATTACATTTGGAAGACAGGTTTTTAAAGAAAAGGAAATATAGATCTTGGAAATTTCTTTGTCCAATCAAAANGCTCAGCTAGTATGAGTAGCAGTGAGAATCATTAATATTATCAACTTTAATTTTCATATAATGAAAAGTTGAGAACGTTTTTAATCTATCTGATATTGTTAAGAGGGATTAGCAATAAAAGCATAAATATTTAAAAATCATTGTTTATGCAACAAGGAATACTATATCAAAATAAACAAATATAGATGGTGGCTAATTTTTGTCTAAATTAATAACAATTGACTTCTACATATAAAATACTTGAGAACATACTGAGTTGAGTGGTTATTTCAGCTAAAGAAACTGAAGAAGTATATGTGAAGTAGAAAAAATGTGATATTGTAATCTTCTTGACTACGAAACATTCAGTGATTCATATGCATATACTTTATACATCTGAATATTTCAGATGAATCAAAGATTATCAATTTGAAATGCATGTTATTGTGAAAAATTGAATCTTATAGCATATATCCCATTCGTATTAAAAAATAGAATGATATTTCGCACTATAAATGTTGATATTGAACTTCAACCATTTTTATTAGGACATATGCCTTGCTGGCATGAGAATGCATCTTATAAGCATTTTGATACCCTAAATTTACCTGTAATAGAATCAGTATGATTGATTTGTACAACAATACATGTATGAGATGGAAATTCAAGATCTTTGTTCAACTTAGATACTGCTGTATCAAATTTGATTATACTTGCAAAGCATTAGCAATTTGAAGTATTAATTCTTAGATATTCAGCTGCTCTCAACAAATGCTGTCTTCTTGAAGGAATCAATCAAATTGAAGTAAACTACCAACTTTCGTGTTTGATTTGCTTCAAATATATGGTATAACCTATCCCTACTTTCAAAGTAATTTTTACGATAAAGTGGCAACTCATCAAATGTAATTGTCTTTGAACAACAAGAATGATCAAAGTAGAAAATTGTCTAAGTTGATTGATTATTTAAGTTATGGGTTATTCATATTTTCTTAATTGGATAGAAATTTTGTGATCCCAAAAATAGCTACTCAACCTGAGTTGATGAATATTTATTTCACTTTACTTTCTAACATCTCAATATATTCAATTATCTTTTTCCAACTATTTAATCAAATGCAACATATCTCATTACACTCACAACCTCTATTCTATAAATCAATTCCTCATATAACAATGAGTGACCATTCTTTTTTTGAGAAATATTCTGATAATTATATGAAGGAAGTAATAATAAACTATTCATCTAATGCTATTAAGATAAATTACGATAGCAGATCTGATTTCCTTTTAAGATTTATCAGGAGAATATGCACTTTAAAAGTCATTCTGCTATCCCATGCAAAAAGAAATTTTTATCCCTACCGATATTTGTTTTGAAAAAGAATTACATTTGGAAGACAGGTTTTTAAAGAAAAGGAAATATAGATCTTGGAAATTTCTTTGTCCAATCAAAAAGAAATCTTTCAGTTATTTTGGAACTATAGGTAAACATATTTGATGTTGATAAGTAAGAATGTGGAAAAGTAAATAGATATTTTATTTGGCAATATTTGATGCTGAATTACTATTATTAATATTGGGTTTTCCTTTTATTCAAGATTTGAAATATTGTAAAATTAAATACTTAAGAATATGCATAATAATCAATTTTATTCCCCTAATTCTTCTAGTTGGAATAATGATATATTAAAAGTTATGAAAATTGAAATTCAAGCATTGTAATCCCTCTTTCGATTTCTCAAAGTCTTAATAGAGAGAAAAATGGTCACTAATACTTTAAAAACTGGCAACCATTTTTTTTTGAAAATTTTTGAACGAGATTTTAACAAGAAATCAATTGAGCAAGATAAATTGCTTAAGGCAATATTTTGTTTTTTTATCATTACCTTTTATTGTACCTAAAAGTAATTTCACCTTTTGGAAGGGCTCGAATATATCTTCATATCTAAAATCAACAACAAGAGATTTCCTACTGTAAATTATTGTAATTAAGTCTTCATAAGCTTTCTGACTTAAGGAAAAATTAAAAAAGTTGTTCATTGAAAATGATAAAACAAGTTCGGATGGTGATCATCTAGTATTGAATTTTCGAGTATATTTATTTTATAAAAACATAAGCTGATGTAAGAGGAGACTACTAGAAAGGGCATGGAAAATGATAATAGGATTATACCTTGATACAATTAAGACAAAAATTCCTATAGTAAAATACATCTGGACTATTTCTTATAGTTTTCTATGATATTTTGAGATCATCTTCCAATTTTCAAAGGTCTTGATCTGTTTTTGGTGACAAAATAAAATCTTTGGAAATAATCCAATTATTCCTTAATCTAGTTAAATTTCTTTGCTCTCACTTTTATATTTTGAATTTAGCTTCCTATATTTGTAGTTTTAAGAAGACAAATTATTCATCTCTCACATCAATCAGAATGGCCTACAATTAATTCATAATATAAATTTTTAGATCTTGAGTTTACTTTGAGTTAAAACTAGTTTCATCTTATGGATTTCTCATATATAAACAATATTTTTGGGAGAATTTGTAGGATTATTTAAGAAGTGTTGCTGCAGAATTGACGACTAATGATGCAAGGAACCCGTAATTAGAATAAGTATATTTATAATCCAAACTCTTTGAATATTTTGATATCAAATTGGCTAAAGATACTGGATAATCTTATAACCCTTCAAGATAAAGTTACTAAGTTCGGAAATGTTTCTAAGGTAAATGACATGTTTGCAAAGGAAGCATGATCGATTTAGAGACTAAAAGAATTTGTAGGCCAAAATAGTGTTGCCTCTAAAATTCATTTAAACTTTTGAGGACAAAACTTTAATATGGATAAGAAGATCCTATTCTTTTCAAGAAAGTAATGGAAAAGGTTGATCGATAGGAATGTGAATTAAAGACATAGAAAATTATTATAATGAATGATATTGGGGACTCAAATTTCGACTAGTGTCCATAACCAAATTGCTGGATCGATCATTTATCAAGTTTTGAGGGATTACAAGATTACTAAGTAAGGAGGGGAATTCTTTGAACAACCAATTTCTAAATATGAAATGGAAATATCATGACTGAGGATGAACCTCAAAGATTTCTGTAAACCATAAAACTATGCAATTCATTATGCAAAGCCCCATGAAATGGCGTTCTATGTGAACACAAATAGTCCCAAGAATATTTTCTATCTATAATATTAATTAATGTTTTAATATTCTAGACTAAAATATATCCCCTTACAAAATGAATTTAATAAATTTATGTAGAGTCTAACCTTTAATACTTCTGCTTTTAAAGTGATTCTAAAAATTCTACCAGTGCCATTTACAAAATCGAAATGTGTTGTCAAATCCCAATTCAAGATCTTTTACAAAACTAAACCCAACTGGATGACCTAACCATATTGTTTGGTTAATCAATGATTCCAATTCCACATGCGATTCCAAAGTTCCAAATCCAATCATCAATATCACTAAACCGTTTTATTATTTTTACAAAAACAATAAGTCTTCATAGATTTATTACATATCAATATAATTTCCATTTTTGTCTTTGAACGGGTAAAACACTCTATAAATGCTATTTTGAGAAATCAATATACGGTAAATTTATAATTTAACATGATTTTCTATTCTCAAAAAATTAATATACGTCTCTAATGAAAGAAGATATGATGAAAATTTACTAAGTAGTCGATATCAAAAGATTGTTTATAATTGAAAAGTGAATTATGATTAAATTGAACTTTATAGTGATTTAGAAGAATGGAAAATATCACTAAGATTAGGTTTAACAAGAAATAAAAGTTACAGATTATTCAACATTTATGTTTTGTACCCTTTGAATAATAATAAATCTAAAATTCATTATGCAAATTTTCATCCATATGAGATCAAAGATTTTTCAGATAAGATTAAGGAGCTAAAAATTGTCCGTAAAGAGGTAGGCAGAGAGAAGGAAAAATACTGGATAAATTTAAACTCATTAAAGTGTGTTGAATTTTTTATGTAAATTCAAGCTTATTGTTGTTCGCATTGCTAGGGAATCTTAATTTATAAATATTAGTGTTACAAGTTTTAGCCTTCATCAAAAAGGTCACCTTTATCATTTTTACTATATAAATATTTCATATTTATCCTGTATTTGTTCTTTACACTTTCCTAATTATTTCCTTCTAATACCCTAGACACTATTTTCCACTTGATATCACAGCACCTTTGAATTAATTGTAAGTAGATTTGAATGTCCAATAATTAAATAACTATGGAAATAAAACCAATCTTTCACATTACAAATTGATTAGGTTTAATTCAACCTTTTATTACATCAATAAATCTGTTTCTCTGGTACTTTACTTAATTATTTCATCCAAGGCATATCTTATAAAACAATATATTTTTTCATATATTGAAAATATTGATTTAGGAATTGCTAAATATCAATAAACACTCTATATTGTTATTAGTATTAAATCTAACAAGATATTAATCATAAATTGTAGGATTAAAATAATAATTTCTGGTCTTAAAGAGAACAAGGTTAAAAGAGTACATTTTCAAAGATAGAGAAACAACAAACAATTCAGAATAACAATTAAGTCTAAGTATATCAACTAAAACTAAACTAAATAATGTTATTCAGGTCTCTAATTATCATAATAAAAAATCAAACATATTATTGATTAATTTTGGATTATTTAAATCAAAAAAAAAAATTAGAGCCATAACTCACAAAATAAGCAAAATTTACTTTATTTAGATTGGAATAATAGGAAATGTAATTTCATCTAAAGGTTTTAATTTCAATAAGATTTAGGGCTACATAATTTGTAATTTAGAAGGGAGATTTGATAAAAAGAAATCCAAATAATAACTGTTGGTCAAGAAGTAGCTATTGGTCAAATATTATTTTATCATAAGTTCTTGATGATGTCATAATAGGAACATTAAGAGTTCTAAAGTAGATTTAAAGATGAGGGAGTAAATGTAATATAATGATCTCTATAAAGATCAAGAAATAAAAAGGAAAAGAAAGTGAATTTTAAAATGAGGGCTCAATTAAACTGGCTGAGTCAAGTCACTCGGAAGAAGGTGTTAAATTATGTTGCTAGAGGCCATGATTGCAACTTTAATTTAAGACTAGTCATTTATGAGTTGAAGAGGTAAATTTATTATTTAAGATTCGTAATTCAATTATTTTGACATAAAAGTAATTAATTTCTTTATTTAATTAAATTTAATTGATTAATCTTGATATTTATTTGACGAGAATAGGTCAAAAATGGTTAGTACTTTGCCAATTAACAAATATGAAATTGCAGATTAATTTAGAAGATTTGAATTAGTTTCGCTATCACTGCATCAAGAACTATTAAGGGCGAAAAAATAGTCAGCATAATGTTTAAAATTTGCTTTCGTCATTCATGAACTTGTCAGTAGATGATGAATGAAAATCTACATTATAGTTCATCTTAATTTACCAAATAAAGTAATTTTATTTGATATATGATGGGGCACTTTTAAATTTTTAAACACCTTTGATTTACAAGCATCAAACTCTTAGAATACAATTAAGTCCATTATTGGAGAAGGAGCAACTATAAAAAGAAGTTGCATTATTTTTTATAGATCCAGCAAATTTTCATGATGTTAATCTTATGTTTGATAGGTTGTAGATATAAATACCAATAGTATTACAAATGTGAAGAGAGAACTGATGATGCATAAGCACTCTTAATTACAATCAACATTTGGGAAGCCATAATTCCCCAACAATATGTTGAAATAGTTGTTGCACTGCTCACAGTAATGTATGTGTATTTAATTCATTTAAGAGAAGAAAAACACTGCACAAATGAAGAACGAATTTAACTAATTAGATAAAGTAAACAGGAAATGATCAACAATGTATGTCAGAGCAACTACAGCATATTTGACAGTTAATCATATTACTGCAATTAAGTCACAAAGTAACCTTTAGAAACATCGATCATTAAGATAGATTCTAACTAAGGGCTGAGACTAGGAGATTTTAGTGTAAATTCTCAATATGGCTCCTGTTCATTAGACCTATTGAAATAATAAACCTTGTTTATTGAATAAGCACACTAAGCAAAAAATTTACTTTTATGAGAGAAATTACACTATAACTCAATCATATGTTTTACTTGATTCACTGAATGTTATGTGGATTCTTCTCTTTTTCAAGCACTACTTGTTGAAATGAATCTTTATTTTAGATAAAGTTCTGCAATTATTGGCATCCATTTAAATGGTTGCGTTTCAATAATTCTTACTTCAAGGAGAAATTAAAGCAGGTGAGACTTGCCTCTATGTGTGGCGTGGTGGACATCAAAACTACGTTGAAGTTCTCCTAGAAAAGTAGAATGAATATTTTTGTTAGTAGGCCTAAAGTTAAATAAAGATTAGTATTAGGTGAAAAATGTAGGATAAATATAAGTAGCAAATCACACATTTGATGTTAAATAGGACCTTAAAATAATTGAGAAATAAATATGTTACTTCATAATGTGAAGGAATAATTTGGCATTTAATAGAATTTCAATATCTATATATGATCATGATATTCTATAATTGCTTTATTGAGATTGTACAACACGACATGCTGTACAATTATTGTAAGGATAAAATATGCACTGACACTTGACAAATGTAAAGTTGAGGAAATATTGTTATCTCTTCTGTCTGTTATTTATTTTATACAACAAGTTAAGTTGTAATTGCTGAAGGAAAAACAAAGGTATAATAATATCTGGAAATTGCAAATAAATAAATGAGCTTGCTATTTTACAAATTCAAATTGCTTTGTGGTTATCGATTTGAATGGTGATTCTGCATTTAATTATAAATTTGGAAGTAATATTGTTTTCTACTTTGATATTGATAATAGTTGAAATAATTGTACATGCTCCAAACGCCGACTGTTTTAATGATTGTGCAAATTATTTACGACTATTATAAATTGTATTTCAACGTCTCCATTGTTTTCCAAGCATATTATAACAAGATATTATTAGTAAGGAAGTATAGGACATTTTATTAAATAACCAATGTGAGCTTGAGAATAAGGTTCATTCATTCTTAACTGTTTACATAATTTTCTAGTAGATACAGGATATTGCATATTCCAGAAGAATTGGTTTAAATTAAGCCATGAAATGAATATTATATCATTAAATGAAATTAATCTTCCATCATTAAATAAAGTTGAAGAAAAAAAAATTAGGCTAAATAGCCAACTTACACACAATGTTCACAATTCCTTTTATTCTTGAGCGTTCCTCTCTTGATAAAATTCTGGTTTAATAAATTTAATATTCCAAAATTCGAATTTGAATGCCCTATGAGTTTCCTTCACCTTATTTAATCCACATCTTAAGGTAGTTGTAACTGAAGCAAAAAAGAAATTTAATTTTAAAATCTTAAATGAATAATAATAATTTTAGAATTTATAACATACAAGACTTTTACAAGTCTTAGAATTTGAGGTGAGTAAATATTTATAAGGTTAAGCAAACAATATCAGAGACTAATGCTACAATAAAAACGATTTTTATCAAATTTTGCAATCTCTCTATTAAAATGAAAAATTATAAATTATTAGAACTTCTTATTAAAGTACCCTAATCTTCATTATTCACTCACTAATTAAATGATTTTGCTTCCTGTTTTAGTATATAAACTCAACGCATATAATAAGAATAAATGAAGATATCGATTATGCTCATTTTAATCTCTTCATCTGCTCATATTAGGATTATTCATTCTGCTTTAAGTATCTCTTAATTCTAGATTATAATCAGCAATTTTTTCTTTATTAGAAATTATATAACATGTTATTTTTAGCATTAGATTATAAATTATTAAGCTAACTTTAAGAAAAGTTGAGAGTTATATATATATTTATTATTGATGTAATCAGCGAAAACATACTCCTACTCCAAAGTTCCAACTATTTAAGAAGTGCTCCTCCTCCAGCTCACTTTATTCCTTCAAACTCTCTTATATTCTTTAAAATATGTTTTTATTATTATTAGGTGCTCCTCACTTGGTTGAAGAATTGACCTTCAAAAATACATGTATAAATGGATGAAAGAAGATTTATGGTAGTCTGGTGTAGGCTTGACCTTATAGTTTATGTCCAAGCTTCCTACAAATCACCGGATATTGTGCATATTATTTTTATCTCAAACAAAGTGCATTGTTCAGAATTGAGATTACTAGTATAACTGGACTGTTTTTAGTTATCAAGCATGTTTATCTTCTCAGATTACAAGTTTTTAAAATATCAAGGTTGGAAATTAGATTGAGTAATAGATATATCTACTAATTTCTTAAATTTTACTGCTTTAAGTCTAATGTCAAGTAATAAATCTTTGCAATTTTAAAAGAGATGATGTAATCAAAATTGGAGTTAATTTAGAATGGACTGAGTAAAATCAAGAGCTGAAAATACCATATGATTAGGACATGAAACTTTAAATTTTAGTGTTAAGAGAATGTTATATCGAATTTCTTTCTTAAAAGTCGACGGATAAATTTATCAGAAGTCATAAGTTGATGTCCAACAAGTAATATCTTATTCAATAGGCGAGACTATAATATTACATTTAATAATAAGTTGTTATACAAAAATCTTATGGTAGAAAATTGAACTTCTTAATTATAAATCTTCAATGATATTATAATGAGTAAAAGTTTATAATTCAGAAGGGAGTTTATTAAGATTCAGCAATTAGTTCTTATCATTTTGATATCTAATTATTATCTTACAAGAGATTAAAAGTTGCATTAATATTTATTTTAAATTTAATGGAAATAGTTTGTTGTCAAACTTGAAATCTGTTTGATGGATTACTTGCACTATTTGAAGTTTAAACACTACATGAGTCCTTTTTCATTTATTCAAATAACAGTGTGCAAAGTTATAATTGCGAATTTTCAAAAATTAAGTTCCTTACACATCTTTGTAATGGCGGTATACAATTAATTAACTTGAACCGTTGTTATATGCATCTAACTGTCAAGCTTAATGTAGTAATTTCTTATGTTGTTATCATGATGATTGATCATATAAAAATATTTATAAAAACTGCTTAACTCTAAATCATATAGTGTTGAAATCACAATTTGAAAATCAATTTGAATCATCCTTGATGCTTACTTCAAACTTTATTTTAAATTTCATTAAGATGGTTACTAACGAAAATAAGGATATCGTAATAGAATTGTTGAACCAAGCAAATTGCTATTGCTGAATTATGTCTTGTTGGATGCATCCTTCAATATCTACAATCCTGACATTAGTCCCTAATTTTTTTAGAATTAATAACGAAGGCAAAATATAACTCCATTCTTTGAGTCCTGCATTCATTGTGATCAAAACGATTGCACAGCTTGCCTGTTGGATACTAATTGTAAATTCCTTTTCTCCTAGTTTGTTTTTGGATGCTTACATGCAAAATGTGTCGAGGCTTGCAGTGCTTTAGCAATTTGTATGTTAATTTTCGACTTCAGCTGTTCTCAAAAAACTTGTCAGCTTGACAGAATCAGTCAAATTAAAGTACATTTTATGCTTTCATGTTGGTTTGCTTCACTATTATCGATGCATACTTTTAATGGAATAAATGTAAAAGATGTTCTCATAGATATCCAGCGGCAGCAATATTTTACTTATGCTTCTTCTTCCAAAAATTGTGATGCTTAATTCTTCATAAGCTTGCATGTAATGGTTGCACTCCTTCCCCAAATCATATCGTATGCCGNATGTAATCAAAATTGGAGTTAATTTAGAATGGACTGAGTAAAATCAAGAGCTGAAAATACCATATGATTAGGACATGAAACTTTAAATTTTAGTGTTAAGAGAATGTTATATCGAATTTCTTTCTTAAAAGTCGACGGATAAATTTATCAGAAGTCATAAGTTGATGTCCAACAAGTAATATCTTATTCAATAGGCGAGACTATAATATTACATTTAATAATAAGTTGTTATACAAAAATCTTATGGTAGAAAATTGAACTTCTTAATTATAAATCTTCAATGATATTATAATGAGTAAAAGTTTATAATTCAGAAGGGAGTTTATTAAGATTCAGCAATTAGTTCTTATCATTTTGATATCTAATTATTATCTTACAAGAGATTAAAAGTTGCATTAATATTTATTTTAAATTTAATGGAAATAGTTTGTTGTCAAACTTGAAATCTGTTTGATGGATTACTTGCACTATTTGAAGTTTAAACACTACATGAGTCCTTTTTCATTTATTCAAATAACAGTGTGCAAAGTTATAATTGCGAATTTTCAAAAATTAAGTTCCTTACACATCTTTGTAATGGCGGTATACAATTAATTAACTTGAACCGTTGTTATATGCATCTAACTGTCAAGCTTAATGTAGTAATTTCTTATGTTGTTATCATGATGATTGATCATATAAAAATATTTATAAAAACTGCTTAACTCTAAATCATATAGTGTTGAAATCACAATTTGAAAATCAATTTGAATCATCCTTGATGCTTACTTCAAACTTTATTTTAAATTTCATTAAGATGGTTACTAACGAAAATAAGGATATCGTAATAGAATTGTTGAACCAAGCAAATTGCTATTGCTGAATTATGTCTTGTTGGATGCATCCTTCAATATCTACAATCCTGACATTAGTCCCTAATTTTTTTAGAATTAATAACGAAGGCAAAATATAACTCCATTCTTTGAGTCCTGCATTCATTGTGATCAAAACGATTGCACAGCTTGCCTGTTGGATACTAATTGTAAATTCCTTTTCTCCTAGTTTGTTTTTGGATGCTTACATGCAAAATGTGTCGAGGCTTGCAGTGCTTTAGCAATTTGTATGTTAATTTTCGACTTCAGCTGTTCTCAAAAAACTTGTCAGCTTGACAGAATCAGTCAAATTAAAGTACATTTTATGCTTTCATGTTGGTTTGCTTCACTATTATCGATGCATACTTTTAATGGAATAAATGTAAAAGATGTTCTCATAGATATCCAGCGGCAGCAATATTTTACTTATGCTTCTTCTTCCAAAAATTGTGATGCTTAATTCTTCATAAGCTTGCATGTAATGGTTGCACTCCTTCCCCAAATCATATCGTATGCCGGCAGTTACATGTTGTAGAACTCTATTTAGAAGATAAAATTCTATATCCTATTACACCAATCTTTGCAGATCATCTAATTCGGTAGCATAATTTCAATAAAGGAAGTTCTAATATTGTCCTGCAGTATTAAAATGAGAAACAGATATTGGTTAGCAGTTGTCTAAAGAGTTATCCATAGAATATTATATGTTATTTCGATCTAGACAAGAATAGTTCAGAAAAAGGGTGAGCAACTGCTTGTTCATACAGCACAATGGTTTGGATAAATAGTAGATTAATGCCATTTGTGGATTAACCAGAAACATAATCATCTGCAAGCAATGAAGACACTTCGATGCAGGATGAACAAACTATTTCTTTATTTTTGGTGTCAACAACAATCAATTTACAAACTGCTGCATTTTTAGATGGTGCATATATCTAACATGCAAATAATATTGAGTATCTGAACAATTACTTCTAGCCTTATAGTTAACACCCTCATCACAATTATGATAAGGAGATGAGCCTGACGGATAATAGTAAGCAAGTGCAATAAATTAGCAATAGGCTCCAAAAATGCCTAGAGTGGAACGGGAACCTACAACACCTTTGAGATTAAGTGCATAGTAATTGATTACCTTAAAATGAATTATCTTAAATCCACTAAATGATGTAAAAAGACAATATTGAAAAGTAATATATTCTGAGCTTCAGAATTACAATGAAAAAACATTTATTGCATTATGTGCACGAGAGTGCCAATAATAGACTATAATGCTGATTCACTCCCAGTATATAACCAGATGCATAAGGGTTCTGAGATGTTCAAGTTAAGCAACGCTGTGGACTGACAAACTCTATCAGAAAATATTGATGAACGATCAAAAAAATAGGCAATATTTTGCCTGAAATGGAACAGTATACTTCATATAATTTCCCAGAAGATAGAGTCCGAAATGAAAAAACAATTTCAATAGTGTAGCAGAGCATTTCCTGTAAACTTCTTAAGGTAACAGGAAACCAGAATATCATTAATCATCAGTCATTTAATGCTGTATCAGTGTATAAAGTACACTGATACAGCATTAGGAGACTAATTTGAAATGCTGATGGCTAATTTAATTTACAACTAATATTGACTACAACTTAAGTTAACAGTAAGTTTCAATAAGTATCACAAGTGGATACAAATACTTGAATAAGCACTATTTGAAATGCTTACATTTTATTGATAAGATAAACAAAAAAAAATCTCTGTTGATGAATTACAACCATAAAGTTACTCTTACATTTACAAAGTGTTACTATTGCCAAAAATATCTGATTGTAAGAACATAGTAAAAGGCAATCAGAGTGAACAATGAGGCTTAGTAACTCTATTATTAAACCCAGTGACACAAGACCTTAAGGGTGAATGTATGTTAAAATCAGTTTCCCTGTTTATTAATATAATGCAATTAAAGGAAACAGAAAGAAGTTATTTCAGCCATCATTATTGGATTGAAAAATTGCATGGTCTTTAAATAAAGTCATTGAACCAGGCAACTATTTTTTCTCGATTTTATTCTGGTAGAAATTATTAAATGAAGCCATATTTTTAACAAATGATTGCTTTGTAAGATTGAAAAATTAGGGATGATTCTATAAATATTACATGGGAACACCTGTTGATGAAGAGTCTCATTCAGTTTAATCATCAGAATAATTGGCTTAAGAGGTGGTACTAATAGATAATCATACAAACTATAAATCATGGGATGGTTTTTTCACTTACTGTTTGCTTATGTATATTTTGATCAAGTTCGTACTCTTTCTCTTTTCATCTAAGCATAATGTGCTTGAAATCTCTCCCCCTTTTCAATATTGAGTATTGTGCCTATGCTTAAGTTCTACAAGCGTTCAAGCATACTATTAAATAAGCGTATGAACAATTTGTGCATTAAGAAAGAAATAAGTCGTACCATTAGAATTTGAGGAGCAATAATTAAACGTCAACTCAAAGTAGAGGTGTGGCTCAAATTAAACTGATTCACAATAACGGGTCAATATTTATCTTATCCAACGCTAGCAGGATGGATTCCAAACTGATCAAACCATTAGCATGAAATCTACAAATGGTGGCTTTGTAGTCCACTTACAAATAGTATTTATGGTGATAATGGGGAGACATAATACAAATTCTTTGTTTAGCAATCCTGTTGTCAATAAATTTTGCACTGAATCATCTGCCGCACTTAACATATAAAGACTCAAAAATGTAATAATTAATTTTGGGTTGTGCAAGATAGTCAGCTTCTGATTTTTAAAGGATTAGAATACTGATAAATACTAATTTATCTTATTAGCCTAACTGAATGTTTTATTATTTTTTGGGTTTTAGCAGTCATCATATAACGTTAGGATGATAGCCCTAGCGTCGATATAAAATATGATATGAAAGGCTCATTGATAGGAACTAACATGCATGATTGAGATATAGTAGGCAAGACAGATAAGTTTCAGGATATAGTTCGCCTTATTTGTAATTCTAGGTCTTTGCAGGCCATCTACCTACACTTATAGAAGAAAGATAAACTATCAAAACTAAATGGTGGTACTTTGGCTTTGAACTGAATACATTTTTCTTAATGAATTCTAAAGTTGTTACCTTTCTATTTTGCTCTCTCCTTTTTCATATTGTGTATTTTGTTTAATCACTGGTTCAAGAATACAATATTGGCTGAAGTGTTTAGAATAACGAAAAAGGGAAAATAGTAAATGCTTAAGACTTTATAGGTTTATTTAATAGAAAATAATTAGAATCTCAACTATCAAATTTTTGTCAATAAGTGCCAAGTAAATATTTCTTCAATGAAAATATCAACGGATTTTCGTCAAAAAATTATAAATCATTTTAAATATATTGAGTGAGATTTTATATTTTTTAATATAGTAGGCTTTATGAATTACCCAAATTATAATCAATATTACTCTCTATGTCTTCAGCTATTTGTTTGATTTACTTAATTAAGTATACTCCCTGAGATGTTAATATGATTAAATTAAACTAATATTTTAAGGAGACATTCTTTTTGACTATTAAAGGATCATTTCTTATATATAGTTTCTAACTAAGCTATGGAATACTCCCATTATGCAGATGGATACACATTGGTTTATTTTCTACAATGTTAGCTGCAAGTTGATGATTGACATGATAACTCATATGAAAAAAGAGTATGAACATTATAAAAACTAAAACACTAACATGTAATTAATACAATTCAAAAAACTATAATAATTGTTTACAGAGATTTATTTTTAATGGTCCTGAAATTCAATTAGTTTATGATGAGGAATTAAATAAATGATTGAAAAGTGTAATTTTGCTCTTTCAGATGAAAATTATCTAAAATATATTATATTATATCATATAATATTTATATTTTCAAATAATCTTAAATTAATGATAAAATAGATGTTGAGTATTTAGCCGAGAGCTTATAATTATTATCAATATAATTTAAAAATTAATATATAATATATATTATTGATAAATGATATTACTACTTGGTCTTCTATTAGTTTATTAAATTTCAATAAAATGGAGGTTAATAATAATATATTCAATATTTTATTTTATTGTAAATCAATTTTTGTGGAATCTTCAAATATTTCTTATAAAACTACTATGCACTGAATGAAATTGCAATAAATGAAACACAAGATTGAATTCCATAGTGTATGATACTTCGGGCTATTAATGTATAAATTATTATCCTTACTAAATTATTGCAGGTTTGTTTAATTCTGATCGCATTTTATTCTAAAATATGATAAAAAATTATTTCATTAATTAAATAACATACGTGATGAGATGAGATGTGTCATAAAAAATCAAGATGATGAAAAACTAGCTAATAAAAGTATCTATCCTTTTGAATCTATATATTGCTCAATTATCTTATAAGAAATCTCATTATAAGAATTATTACAGGGTTGAGAATACTGAATAAACAAATGAAGAGAACTTATTCCTAAATTTAATTAGGAGAGTATATCTGAAATTCTATAGCTAAGCTAAAATCTTTTGTCCTTGTAAGTAAAAGGTGAAATAGTTTAATGAATTTACTATTATAATAAAGTAAATTTACCATGAATTTTCTTTAAATACAATAGAATTATCTTTGTATGTCAAATTACAATTATGGAAATAAATAATAAAGAGCATGTACAAATTTCTAAATTCAAAAAATTGTAGATATGGAAGCTATATCACTATCAAGTCTTTTTTAAATAGTCATTTTTAAAAAATAAAAATTTTGTAGATGTTAGAAGTAAGATTTCACCAAACTTATTACAGTTCATAGTGTCATTATTTTTCACTTTATTTAAATTAGATTATAAAAGTTGATCAGAGATTGTTCTGAGTGCACCCTATTCTTCATATTCAGATAATAATTCTTGAGTTTATTTGTAAATAATAGGATCTGAATTTTGTTCAATAAACAGATGAACAATTTTCATACGATGCAAATCTATTATGATAGACATTTTTCAATTATGTTAGTAACACTGGCAGTAAATTGTTGAGGTTTTGTCGTTAAAATAGCTTTAGAGTAAATCTTTTAGATTTGGGCTAATTCTCAAAGAATTTGTTTAAGATTCAAAATTAAAATAATCTATCAGGAAATCTAATTTGGGCTGGATATAGATAAAATTTTTTTTTGAAAAATACTTTTGCTCTTCTTTTGACTTACCAAAGCATTTCATTTCCTTTTAAAATAACAGGCTCATTGTTTACTATAATTGTATCTTAAATTTCTTGTGCAATTTTAATCAATTACAGCTAACAATTAAACAATGGATAGTAAAGTATTTATTTATGGATATATGTAAAAAAATACAAAATATTATAGCAAGAATACTAAGCCATATTATTGCAAAAATTTCATTTGATTAAAAAGCAACTTAGCTTAGAATAAAGACTTTCATATAGCGTAGCAAAGCAAAGTAAACCAATAGGAATATTTAATTGCCCTGGATAATTCATTGGGAAGTTGAAAAAGAGTATGAAAATGATGGCTGGTGGGAAAAAAAAGAATTATTAAAGTTGGACAAAAAGACCAAAAGAATAAGACTTATAAAGATTAGCAAAGAGGAGAAAGTAAATTCAAAAAGTTTCATTGGTATTTATAAAAGTAATTTAGAGTTAATAATAAGAGACCTAAAATAATTTCACATCTTCTATAAATTTGCTCTCCAAATATATGGAAAATTTATTAAACTTATGCGAATCCAATATTTAAAAATGAACGATTAGAGGATACGAAATAGAACCAGAAAATGGTACTATAATAATCACTTTTTTATATCATTCAGGTGCTTATTTTAATTGGATCAATCCGATTTTCAGAAGTATGCCACCCTCAAAACTTTGAAATTTTCTTGCCTTCTAATATGTGTTCATTTAGAAGTTCTTTGTATAGAAAGCAACTCAACGTCCACTCTAAGTATACAGTTCCAAAGCTAATGATTGTTCGATGGATATAATAAGATCGATACATTAGACGTCCATGTTATAAGCGTAATTTCTTCCTAAAGTATTTTTCTCTACTAATATATAAATCAGAGTGGGACTAAAATACCCATATTTCTGAATTGGTCCTTATCTGAAGACTAGTTTTTCTTTTAACTTAAATTCTTTTTTAGAAACTTCTAGAAAAAAATATCTGTTGTTATTAGTATTAATTAGTTATTAAATATTGTAAGACTGTAAATTTTTTAATTGTAAAAGGTTGTATTTTGATTTTTGGATAAGGAATTCAATTTTTATTTAAATGTGTATATTTTTATTTAAAAACAAATAGAACAAATCAAGAAATTAGTATTATTAATTCTAAGTTCAACAATTTAATGAAAATAATCTTGAGATTCACACAAAGGGTGTAAATTTGTAATGATATGTTTTCAAGAAAATATTGTATAATTTATTAAAAAATGGAACTTTATAATTTATAAAGGATGAAATGAAATCAATTGTATTAATTATTAATTTAGATAAAAATGGAAATTTTTAAATGTAGATATGTAAATCATGAAAATGAAGAAATAATAGGATTTTGCTTAAATCAGAATTGTAAGAAAGCAACATAATATTGTTATTTATGCTTGACTTAGACACATTCAGATCATTAAAATGATTGTATTAGATTTGTCACAATGAATTAACACATCAACTAATTCATATAAGTCTAAAAATAATCTAATTCTTAAATCAAAGGAATAATCATTCAAATGAAGAATTGTTTTGAATAGATTTAAAAATTGATGGATTAAGAAATTAACACATTAGAGAACATGAACTAGAAGCTTTTAAACAAAGATTATTTAACTTTTAAGTCTGAAATAAAAATAATCAAACAATTTTACTCAAAGGAAAAAGAAATTTAGATTTGTAATTTATTTGAATTATTTTAATAGAAAAACAAATAATAGAATTCAATCAAATTCTTAATACAATCAAAAATATGGTATCAATTTAATAAAAAATTAATGATAAATCAAATATTGGTTAAGTTAAAAAAATATCTATTGAAGAGCAAAAGAATTAAAAAATCAAAGAAGCAAAAGAGTTATTTAAAAAAGGTAAACTAAATTTAGAATAAATAGGATAAGAACTAGCTACTAATGGTTAATTTAATGAAGCAATAAAGATATTGAATAACTCAATTCAACAATTCGATTAAGATGACGAAGTTTATCTATGGAAAGGTAATATTTTAGTTTATATATTTAGGTTTCGCATTAGATAGTTTAAATTAATATGAAGATGCTATTGAGTGTTACGATAAGGCTATTTCTTTAAATCCTAATGATTATAATACATGTTACAATAAGGGTATTCCAATTTCAAATATAAATATTTAGGTTTCGCATTAAGCAATTTAAATAAATATGAAGAAGCTATTGAGTGTTACGATAAGGCTATTTCTTTAAATCCTAATGATGATAATATATGGAACAATAAGGGTATTCCAATTTCAAATATATTTATTTAGGTTCCGCATTAAGCAATTTAAATAAATATAAAGAAGCTCTTGTTTGTTACGATAATGCCATTTCTTTAAATTCAAATAACAGTTATCTATTTTCAAATAAAGGTAAATTACTTTTTAAATCAGGTTTTGCTCTACATCAATTAAAGCAATATTAGAAAGCATTACTTTTTTATGATAAGTCTCTATCAATTTTAGTTACTCCTTTGACATTAAAACTCAAAGGTATTATTCATTATTATTTTAAGCTGATTCACTATTTGAATTAGGATTGAAATCTTAAGCTAAAAAGTTTTATTTGACTGCTTTGGAACAAGGATCAACTGAAACACAATACATAAAGAAATAATTATCACAATTATGATAATCATAAATAATATACATTACACATCAATTATTAAATATTTATCTATTTTAGTTGTAAGTTATACTTGTTTATCAACTTCCCGATAAATACACAGAAATAATGAATGATCCATCTCATCTTCTTTAGGGATGCTTCCATAAACTCAAAAACAATATTAGAATAAAACAAACTACATAGTCACTAGATTACAAAAGACTATGTTCCCCTTGAATTATTTTATTGGTCAATATCAATTTTTTAGATCATTCAATTATTTTTCAAAGTTTAACATTAATTCAAAAGTGTTGTTATTCAAAATATACATCATTCATATTTTGAGAAATCTAACATTATTATTAGTTCTTATTTACTCTAATACTAAAGTTCATTAGTATTATAAACTAATGACTTTTTTAAAGTCTCCATTAAATTAAAGTTGATTAAAGTTCAATTTCCTGATATTAATAAAACTTTTTGGCCACTGGAAAATATTATCGCCTATTTCTATGGATTTAGAATGGTTACTAATAAAATCACATAAATAATTTGTAATAAATAATTATTTTCCTAGTTGTAACTTCAGAACTATTTTGAAAAGTTAAAATAAATCAACAGATTATGTGAATGAATTAATTATTGGTTAAAATTTCGTCTTTTTATTAACTTCTTTGAAAATTCTTTTAAATTTCCAAATGACTGTCGTTAAAAAAGTAGCTCTCCTCAAAAAATCATAATTGTTAATATTCATTAAATTCTTCATTAATATATGCTTTATATTTAGTAAGTTTTTATCTTTGTTTCCCAAGAATGATTAGTCCTATTCTTATTATGATTAATGAATTTAACATGTTTATTTTCTGACATCTTTATAATGCTGATAGATAATAAACAATTGTTTGTTGACTTTTTAAAATATTTTTGTGAGTGTTTACCCTCCAAAGAGTTATTCAAATATTATTTTAGGAAAAATTAACTAATTACCTAAATTATTGTTGAATAATAACCATAAAGAAGGAAAGCAGAGTAAGAGAATGTTTATTGGGTAGACTAAGTGAGTATTACATTGAAATTCGAAAGCTGGAAATTTTTAAAACATTTTCACTATTCTAATTTTAATATCCTATAAATATGGTATATGGGTATTCACAATATTAATATCGATGAAAGTAAATACCCTTTATTATTTCGAGAGGCATGATGTGAATTATACCTTAAGTCTGTTAAATATTTCAAGCTGACTTAAAATCAAGTTATACTTTGACCTTCTCTGCTCTTTTACATAAGAGCTACTAATAATATTAATATGTGACAAGAAATAAGCTGATCCTCTTTTATACCCATATATGTCTGTTTCATTCTTAAATTGCAGGCACTTCATAGATTAAGATATCTATTCTCGCGGCCCTTACACTAATCTCACTATAATTTACCTGAAGATTTCTTTCTATTCATGATTAGCTCTGTTTTTAAAGGTTTATCAAATAGAAATTCATTATCATATCGATTGATACAATATTGGCTCCTTTTACCCATAAGAGACTGTTATCTTGATTAGTCTAAAGTTTGGAGGCTTATAGTTCACACTGTACATACTTTTTGAAATAACATCTCTCCAAGATTGATTGACTAAAAAATTCAAAACCAAATTTTATATGCATGTTCCTCTTTCAAGGCAATCAGGAAGAAACCAAGATTTTCTCAATAAACTTCTCTTCTCTTTCTTTAACACTAATATAAATATTCTACAAGAAAATAAAGATTTATTTGTTGTTTATCACTAAATTTAAACAAATTTTATTTTTGAAGGGAAGTAATAGCGTTTGGTGCAGAAGATAGAATTTTATTATCTGTATTAGCCAACAAAATTTATTCAATTAGTTAGCATGATATCTTGAAGTGCCGTAGTAATAGACTTATGCTAAAAATTCCTTGCATCAGATCTATTATAGTCATTTAATCAAATGATTCATCCTATTATTTGATAAATCATAAATGCACTAAGTAGACGACTTCCAAAATATCTAATGAATCATAAATTTGAACTCTATATTGATTATTGATTTGCTTAAACAGCTAAATAGTTATTTTAATTGTAATTAATCTTTCTAAAGGTTATGCCAATTTATTCAAAGACCTATTCATTTTAGAGTAAATCAATTATTAAACAGCATAGATCTTGCAATTTAAGATAATTTTTTTTCTTGAGATGCCAAAATATGGCAATCTTAAAATCTTATGTAAGTGGATCGATTAGATTTCAGCTCTAATGAATGAAACCAAGCTCAGTAAAGGTTAGTGTTGTTTATTTTTCAACCAATTTTATTTAGTTAGGAAGAAAAGATGATATGGTTTTCCAAAAATTAGCTTATCAACTTAGACTTCATCTGAACCTTCTATAATTAATAAAAACATATAAAGATTATTAAGAATGATTATTTTCAAAAAGGAATAGCCTCTTACATGAAAATAGAGTTATCATTTATTTATTTAAACCTCATTTGAAAAAAATATAAAAATTAATTTTTATAATCTATTAAATTAGTTACAAATTTTAACTTCTTTTAATACTTTGCAATAATGAAAATCTAGTAGTTGAATACTTCATAAAAAAAGTGTGAAATAAAGTAAATTTCAATAAAGTAGATTGGATGGATTATTCATTGGTCTGTATGTTTACAATAAGCTGATAATAATCTTAGGCTTGATAAATTTACAATTAAAAATATAAATGTTGAATAATTAAAATAAAATATTTAATATTTATGACTATTCATAATTGTGATAATTATTTCTTTATATATTGTGTTTCAGTTGATCCTTGTTCCAAAGCAGTCAAATAAAACTTTTTAGTTAAGATTTCAATCCTAATGCAAATATAGTTAAGATTAAGATTAGTAAATTTAGTGAATCAGCTTAAAATAATCATGAATAATACCTTTGAGTTTTAATGTCAAAGGAAAAACCAAAATTGAAAGAGACTTATCATAAAAAAGTAATGCTTTCTAATATTGCTTTAATTGATGTAAAGCAAAACCTGATTATGTAGAAGGCTTTCCTATTTTTCCTTTGCTTAAAAAATAAATAATAAATAAAGACAATTGGTGAATAGGCAATCAAATAAATTTTTGTTACAATACAACTTTTACAAAATAAATTCGTTCAATAATTAATGTCTTTAGAAACATTCAAACTCAATAACTATAGATGTATGATTGCGAATTTATTCTCACCATCTTTTCATATAAGTAAACAAGCCTTTCTGCATAATTTAAAATCATAATTTTTATTATCATATTTCACATCAAAGTCGACTTATTAATAAATCATCTGTTTAGTTTTACAATATAATCATATAATTTCATCAATCAAATTTAACTTTATATTTGATTCTCAGCGACTCAATCTCTTGATTTTATTTCTCACAATTTCTGATCAAAAATAATAAACTAATTGACATAAAAAATTTCCCAGAATAAATTTTAAATTTACCCGATTGATTGGAGCGAATGGAAATCATCCATCATAACAACATTATCAGAGACTGGAGACGATTGATGATTTAAGTAGGACAAAATGAGCATAAGTTAATTGAAGGACACATCAAATAGATTTTATTTTGTATTTAGTTAGACTTAAATCTAAAAAAGCTAGTTTTAGAAGTTAAATAAATAAATAAGATAAATCCAATTAGATTTCCAATTATACAATTGTTAATTATTATAACAAAGAATAATAATTATAAAAATATTAAATAATACCTTTTATTTGATTTATAAAATCAAATTTACAAAATATAACAAGATTAATTATTTAATGTCTAATTGAGATATTTTCTGTGATAAAATTTTTGAAAACATTAACGCCATTATTAATCAAAATTATATCAATGCAATTGATTTTCAATTGGAAATGCAGCATTAAGAATTACACCACATAATTTAATTAATGATATATTGGAAGAAGCATAGGATTTCTCATTCTTTACAAATTTTGGTTAATGATAGTTTTAAATTACGAATAAATGTTATGATGTATAAATGATGTTTTGCATTTTACATTAAAAGATATTTTTTGTTTTAATTAAATGAATCGCTAATATTCACCTCCCTGAAATAAACTATTTTCTAAATTACTTTATCTAGGTTTAATAGAATTATAGTTGATTTTAATTAAAAATTAAACAATCATCCTTCCATATTAAAATAATATTCAAAGTTTTAGTCACAAGTTTATTGGACTATCGTAAAAATTTATCTCATTTTTTGATGAGATTGTTAATTTTACTATACAATAATTCTAAAATTAGTAAATCCTAAAGCTGGGATATTTAGTATTATAACTAGTTTTTTAATGTATCAATCCTTAAATTTAATATTTTTATGTTTAAAATGATTAAATATTTTTGAAGTAAATATTTGTTTTATATCTTCATTAATAATGAGAGTTTTATCAAAATCATATTATTCTTATTTATTTAGAAAGAGGATACATTTATTTTATGACAAAGGCGATTTTAAAGAAAAAACAATCTGGTGAGTAATTTATCTGAATAGAAAAATATACTTTAAAAAATAATACTTTCATATTTCTATGACACAGTAAATTAATTATAGGGTTAAGTGTAAATATAAAACTTTGTATTCAATAGTTTTTAGATTTTTTTGTTTAAATTGTAATTCTGGTATTAATCTTTTTCTTTAATAGTTACAATCTTAAGCATAAGTATTTTTATCCTTGATTTTTACAGTAGTAAAAAGGTTTTATGATTTCATTATTTTTGAAGTAATCTAACAATTTAGAAACAACTTATCATTCCCTCTTATCCCCCATTTCTTTCTAAAATAAGGATTCCGAAATAGAGAAGTTCATCAAAATTGTAATCTTTTTCATGATCCAACCTTATTAAAGGCGTCTTGTAGAAACAGTTATATGGCAGGCTTGGCAAAACCCAAAATCAAGTTTTTGGAAAATGCATTCATTATTTTCATATAGAAATTTGTGATATAAATATTATGAAAAATGTTTAATCAATTATGATTATTATTTTGATGATTTAGCCAATTTATATTAATACTAAAGAACAATAATATGATACATGGAATATCTAGGGTAATTAATTGTGTGTTTGAATATTAGGATAAACATTACTCGATTTGAATCAATATCAAGAAGCAATATCATGTTACGACAAAGCTATTTCTATTAATTCAAAAATTGAGTCAGCATGGAACGGCAAGGGTAATTAACTGATTATATTAATATTTTGGATTTGCATTAAACCGTTTGAAACAATACCAAGAAGCAATTGGATGTTACAATGAAGCAATTCTTATAAATGCTAAATTTGATTAAGCATTGATTAACAAAGGTAATTAATTGTTAAAATGATTATTTAGGTTAGGCATTATATAAATTGAAACAATATCATGAAGCAATTTAATGTTACAATGAAGCAATATCTATAAACCCTAATTAGTCTTCTGTATGGCATAAAAAGGGTTATAAATTGTTAAATGTTAATATAGGGTTGGGTTTATTCAATTTGAAAAACTATCAAGAAGCAGTTAAATGTTACAATTCAGCAATAGCTATTAATCCTAATTAGTCTTCTGTATGGAATAACAAGGGTAATAAATTGTAAATGTTAATATTCAGGGTTGGCATTATATAATTTGAAACAATATCAGGATGCAATTTAATGTTACAATGAGGCAATAGCTATTAATCCTAATTATTCTTCTGCATGGAATAACAAGGGTAATGAATTGTAAATATTAATTTTTAGGGTTGGGTTTATTCAATTTGAAAAACTATCAAGAAGCAGTTAAATGTTACAATTAATCAATAGCTATTAATCCTTAATATGATACTGCATGGAACAACTTGGGTAATTAATTGTTAACTATGAATATTTAGGGTCGGCATTAGAGAAGCTGAAACAATATGAAGAAGCCATTGCAAGTTACGACGAAGCCATATATATTAACCCTGATTATTCTGCTGCATGGTATAACAAGGGTAATAAATTGTAAATGTTAATATTTAGGGTTGGCATTATATAATATGAAATAATATCAGGATGCAATTTAATGTTACAATGAAGCAATAGCTATTAATCCTTAATTTGGTACAGCTTGGAATAACAAGGGTATTATTGCTAACTATTTTATTTAGGGTCTGCATTATATTACTTGAATCAATATCAAGAAGCAATTAAATGTTACAATGAAGTAATATCTTTTAACCCTAATTATTTTATTGCATGGTATAACAAGGGTAATTAGTTGTTAAATATTAATAATTAGGGAATGCATTAAAAAACTTGAAACAATACCAAGAAGCAATTGAATGTTACGATGTAACTATATCTATTAACCCTAAATATGTTGAGGCATATGAAAATAAAGGTGTAAATATCTTTTTATTCAGGTTTAATCCTACACTCATTATAAAAATTTATGGATGCACTTACAAATTTTGAAAAAGCCCTCTAACTAAAACATAATGCTCTTAGATTTTAATTTAAAGGCAAATTCTTCTATTATTGAATTTTAGCTGACTCATTATTTGAATTACGAAGAAAATAAGAAGCTAAATACTTTTATTTGGTTGCATAGGAATTGGCATTGGGTCAGAATGTTTATATTTAAAGCTAACTGTCAAAATTATGAAGAATTATCATATTGGGATATTAACTATTTGATATTCAAATTCAAATTTGTTTTTTAAGTTGATTTTCAAAAGAACAATTATATATATACATATACTCTATTTGTGTATATTTGTACAAATGTTTATTATTCCTTTCTATTACCCTTTTATGTAATTTTTTCTATCCAAACTTCCCCATAAATAACATTAAATAGTGTCATAAAGAAAAAATCCTTGTCCTTTCTGTTATCCCTCTAAACAGAGTCTAATATAAAATCTCATTTTTAGCATTTTGAAATGCAATATTAAAAGAGCAAAAAATTACACCCCAAAGGTTATTTAAAAAAATATTTCTTGAAATTTGAAAATCATACATTTAAATCAGATAACTGTTATATATCATTTGATTTATAACTTAATTATAATAATGTAGATTATATAATTCAAATGGATATGAGCAATAAATTCTAATTAATAAAGTTAGTAATATTAAGCGAAGTATTTATTTAATTTAGTAATATTCATTCTACATTATTTGAAAACTTATTAATTCTACTAATGATGTGTATGATAACGATTTTGTGCTTTTACGACAAATTAAGTGTTTTTGTAGAATTTATGTAAGCAAAAATCAAAGATCATTTACAAATTTATACAACAGAATGCTCGACAAGAGTTCTATGACTATCAATTATTTTAAGGAATATATTTCATAAAACGGAGAAATTTTGATAATTTAAAAAAATCTAGATGTCATATATTTGATCAACAAGCATAAAACAATTTCTATTCAAAATCTACCTACTAACTTTGACAATCTTGGTTTGAATGCAATTTAGTCGAGGAGAAAGTCTGGCCTTACAATTCAAGATCCTCCTCCGAGCAGCTAGGCTCGACCGGGTTGTTTGGGGCTCCTAATTTAAATCTCACACCTCTCCCTTTCTTGCTGTGTCTATTAATGTCATCGTGTTTGTTCTGGGTTTATCTCAGTCCCTCAGGTAACAGGACAGGCCATGAGGCAGTACCTCAAGACACTTCAAATCTGACATCATCAGCAAAATCTTTTTAATTAAATTTTTTAGTCTGCCCTTTTTGACTTTTTGATTATTAATCAGAGGTTAATAGCTATAATGACTTTATTAAAACAAAAACGTAAGGAGAAAGGAATTTATGCAGGCGAAGAATTTACTTCAGTTGAGCAAAGGTCCTCATTACTTCTGGTTTTAGAGAAAAATCTGAGTTAATTTTAATATTAAAAATTTAGTTAAGAATATGATAGAGATATCTTTCCAATTAAAATGTGTAAATAAGGATTTCTGGAATTGCTTAACAGAGTGGGCAAGATTTGAAAACGCTTTTCCAAAAATGAGGAGTTATTCATAAATTATATTAATGAAAAAAGCAATTAAAATTTCAAACATAAGTTAAATGATTTATTGAATACTAGAAAAGATAATAATATTTAGAGCATTTCTCGTAAAAAAATTTGGTTGATTTATCATTTAAAATTTAAGTTAGATATTCTTAAGCTGTCTAACCATATCCTTTTCTGTATTTACAGTGGATTCTAGCGATGCTTAAGTTGGTATTTTGCATGATCTCATTAGTATCACAAACCAAAGACAAATTTTTCTTACATGTTATCCTCTTTATAATAATCCTAGTTAACATAATTTTTGTTTTCATCTGAAAATCTTACAGATAATTGATATAAATTTTCTAATGCTCTGGCACAATACATGCGCTTATAATTTCCTATTTTTAAGTTAGCAGACATTCAATAGTCTATTTACTCTATTTTAATTAATGGGGAACAAGGGCAACCTCTGAATATCAATATTATATGTTTTTTAAGAAAACAGCGCCGAACCTAAATTCAATTGATTGATAAAATATAATAATTATAAATCAAGATGGAATACCTTATCAAAAGCTTTTGACAGTATTTTGCTACCCTAAAATAAAGAGAGAAACATTCAAAAAGCCAATAAGTTATTCCTTTTTCTATAAAAATAATTTGAATATGAATTCTAAATGAAGCAAAACCTAAATTTGAATTCAAAAAATGGAGAGTAGATTAATAATTAAAAGCAATAAGGCTTAATTTTAATTATAAAAATCAAATATTTAAGTGAATTAGGTAAATAGTAAAAAAGGGATGGTAAACATTAAATACGATTCTTATAAAAATATATCACAAGTTAATACTCTTCTACAATAAAAAATATTTAGCCTTATTAAAGTAAAATAGATAGCAAATCAAAATTTTTCTAATAACCATATGCAAGATGAGTACGAAATATTACTTTTATAAGAAAAAGATATTTTTTTAATTGGAAAAAAGTATAGAATATTCAGAAAAGTTATATTTTATGAATAAAAGGAAGGTTTAAAAAAATATTTATACCTAATATAATATAATCAACAATCAGAAGATTAGAAAAATTAAGCTGGATGGCTTCCTAATTTAATCTAAAAGGATGTATAGAAATACGGTCCAAGTGATTCTTTCATGTTTGGATGCATTTTCATCAGGATTTAATAAGATAATGTTTGAGTTTCCTGATTTATAAATTATTAAAAAGTAGATGGATTTATTCATTAATTATCATAATAATAATTTAACTAACAGGCTTTTGTAAAAAAATTATAATTTAATTAAAACAAAAGGAACATCGATTAATTTGTTAGTTACATGTAAATTCTATATAGATCATTTATCATTTAATTTAATAAATTCATATTCTACATCATATAATATTACTTTGTCTATTAAATTAATGAAGCCTGTAGGCATTTAAATATGAACACTCTTTCAGTACTGATAACTTCAATTTATTTTAAAGATGGAAAACGAAGTTAATTCGCGCAGTGTTTTATTCATTCAAGAATCCCTTTATTTGAAGTTTATAATTAAATGAAATTATTGAGGTAAAAGAGTGATTATTTATTTAGAATTATTATCAAATTAGATAATACTTCAAAATATCAGGAAATCATGCTACACCAGCATTATATCTTTTTCAATTCAACTTCTCACCGTCTTGATTAAGTTATTCTTTTCTCTATTTTTTTAGCATTATTATATTTAATAATAAGACAATAAGACATCTTTTTTAGTAATAAAGCAATATGATCAAAATAAACTTTTTGATTTTCAAATTTAGACAAAATGTTTAAAGTAATCATGTTCTTTATTGAAAGTAGTTTAAAATTGTTATTATTTTTATTTGAAAAAATCAAAGGTTTTGCAGAATTTTCGTATGAATGTCAAATTAGATAAAGCAAATTCAAACTGTTTAAATAATTTATCCCAAATATGTTATTTAACATTCTTTCCTATTCTAAAATTAGATGTTGAGGGAATTCCTTGACTTTTCAACATAATCGGCTGTTATCCTAAGTTTTTCAAATTTAAAAATCAGTTAACTTTCATTTCAGATTTAGATCTATAATTCTCATTGTTATTTACCCTTTGCCATTATTGTAACTTGGCAAAATTAAACTGCTAATTGCAGCTTAAATTTAATTTGTTTAACTTTAATTCAGAAAAACTCAAAACTGAAATGGAAACTGAAAGCCAACTGTTGTCACTTTATCATAATACATTTTTATATATTATAAATTCATCATATCAGGATTAATTCAAATTTTACGTTGAGTTGCTCTCATCTATAACAATTGCTTATCAAAGCTTTATGAAAATGGATGTAAGTTCTATACATACCTAATTCTAGATATTTATAATATTTTTAACTTGAATTTCTATAAAAATTTCATTTAAACGAAATTAGAATATTGTTTTTGAACCATTAGTGAATTCAAAATTAAGAATACATTAGTATAATAAATTAAATCATTTATCAGCAAATAGTACTATATAAGTAGAAATTGATAAATGAAAACTTAATATTTAATTCCTATTTTGATTTTATTCTGTTAAATAGGAATAATTATACAATATTATTAGCTCTGCTGCCATCAATTATCAAATATTAATTAAGAGTGACTTAAAAGTAATGGTTATTCAAAAAAAACATTTCGAATAGATGATTGGGTAAATATTTTCCCAGATTAAAAAATCTAAAGAAGCCG